CCATAAGTTGAACTACCTGACGAACGTGTGCTCTGTGGACTTCAACGTCCGTCTCTCCGTCCATAGCCCGGCTATGAACGAACACATCGTCAAAGTAACTCGGCGCTAAATCCCGCACTGGTGTCAACCAGAGTTACACATCTGCTAAATGTTGAAGGGGCAATACTCAGCCCTTCTAGCCTCACTAGCCACTCCCGCAGCATGCCGCTCGGGGTTCTCACTGCTGTGTACGGGATGTCCCGTTCACGCATGAGGATCTGATAGAAGCCATCCATCCTATCTATGGACGAGAAGATGGTTATCTTTGACATACCATCAATGATCACGTACTTCCTTGATATCGGCGTCTGAGCCGGTACCGTTGCAGCATTCAACTTGTTGAATGCGTGCACTATCCGCAATTCTCATGTGGCCTTTCGCACACACAAAGGTCTCAGAGCTGTGATGGGATGTTGATTCCCTCACAAGACCCGTTGCCAAGCGATCGGTAAAGAACACATCGATCGCTAGTACTTGTTCGCGAGTCAGTGGACACTACTTCATGACTCAGTACTTCGAGCCCGGTTTGAGCTCGATCTCATGGCGAGTGCCTTTGTCCTTAGGCAACTCGCAAGGTACGGATTCAGGGAATACATCCTTAAATTCGATCAAATCCTTATACAAAGGATTTGCCTGAAGCGACTTCCAAGGTTAATATTCATACCTTTCAATCCGAGGCTTCTCATCGATGACACTTCATCCATCGATGAGCTACTGATAACTCGTTTGTTCTCAGTAAACACCATTTCCGACCTAATTTCATTGACGTACGCGTCCTCCGCGAAGAGTATAGTGACCTGCTAGACTTTGCCACCACGCAGATCACATAGGAACCTTTTTTTATCCAACGCTGGCAATTGAGTTATCTCCGAAGTTAACTTCGGGCGGCACAATCAGATCAAGCGTATAAGCGCTTACACCTGATCCGTCATTGACCAAGACATTCAATGTCGCGGTTAAATTTCTGGGACGTCACATTCGCAGGATGCTGGAAACTATCTCCCTCATAATGAACCACTTGAGTAAAGTCTTCCTCAAGTACGTGGGGGATCTTTTACTCCACGTCTTCTGACAGTGGGGCGCATCCCCCAGTCAGGTAACGATCGTCTGCGGTCGACTTCCTAGTCGACGTATGACCTCCGTGTTGCCGATCACCGGCAAGTGGTATCTTCTTTCTCGGAAGCTGACTTCCCGGCATGCACACATGTCCCGGTCCATTCGACTTTGAGTGGTGAACCTTCGGCGCCACCTGTGAAATTGCACGGTCGCCGGGAGCTTTTTCCACAGTGTAGTGATCATCTACACTGCGGCATTGTACAGTCGTGCTGACGACCGTACCGCAAGTGAGGCCATCGCACTCACTTGCAGTGCGCACACACGATTGTGGACATTACAAGACGTTCATCAGATATTCATCTGATAAGCAAGTGGCAGAAATTATTAATGATCAATGCTGCCAGCTCACCCTTGGCTCCTATCTCCTAATCCAAGGCAGTCCTAGGATGACGTCGAGATTTTCATCTAGGTCAAGTACGATGAAGTCATCATCGTGCTGTTCGTATTCTAACGTATAGTTGATTCCGACTACACGTTTCTACACAGATATCATTGCGCCTGTCGCTAGGCGTACAGTCATTCTTGTTGGAGAGATCTCCCGCTCCACGAAGTTGATGCTTCCAGCCTCTAGTAACTGGCGACGAACAACGTTGTTCGACGCCCCACAGCCAACTAGGGTGCGAAGTGACAAGTCCTTTGTCACTTCCAATGTCAAGGTGATGAGGTTCACTTCACTATTAGGTCCAGAGACACACAGTGGCTGTATGTCGGGAGCAACCTTTGCCAAGAGATTTGCAAATTCTCTTGATGTTGCAGGATCCGTAAGGCGCTCCGCCCCTACTGACCCCGTCCATTTTTTGATGGTCCGCTTCGCTGTCGCGGCTTTGAAAAAGTGTCGGACCCTCATCCTCCAGTTCTCCTGGCTGGTCGACGGGTACTGCGCTCAGTACTGCGAAGTTCTGAGAGGGGGATACTGCATTTGTATGCGGTAGTGTACCATCTTGTGACATCTATGGCATCTCAGCAATCGCTTGTCGCTCGCAGGGCGAGGTATCTAACCCTCGACATGAGAGAGGTCCATTGATTTTGGAAATCCGACCGCTGATCGTCTCTGTGGACGATAGGAGGTCAGCGTAGCATGGACCTGTCTCACACAAAAGTATTTCTGCTCCGCAGCATAAATTGCTTCTGAGAGCGTCTCCAGCTCTCCTCGGAACAGGTGGTCCCTGACGGGACCATCTGCAAGTCTTTGAATGAATATTGTGATCTTCACAAATTCACTCACAAGTTTCACTACCATGCAACTTGTAAGGTAACGTCCATGTAAGGCGTAAGCGTGAATCTTACGCTTATCCTGTTTGAGTTGCAGGAGCTCTGGTGAAGTCCTGAACTCTGCCCTGGGCGGCTCAGAAGTTTCGCTGATCAGGGTATTGAAGATCCTTAACGACTTCAACACGTTTGGGTCGTGAAATATGAGATTCAGGGACCAATTCCTGGCGTCCCCTGCCAAGTAAGACTGATCGAATGCAATTTGCATAGCTCATCGTCGATGCGAAAAACCTTGATTGCACTGTCTACCTCGACGAACCATCTCAACAGGGAGTCTTCCTCGACTCCCCGTACTTGGAGATCTCTATCTTAAGCCTCCCGTCAACGCTCTCGCGTCGACTCCGCAAACTGAGACTGTTGTTGTCTCAGCATTTCAGCCCACTGATGATATTGTTGTCGCAATAATGTAAACTCCGCTCGAGGATCATCAAGTTCTCGTTGCAAGAACTTGCTGACAACGGAATGCTGATGGTCCCTATCTATTGATGATAGCATGGCCCAGATAGTTTCTTTGCCAACGGTCAAACTCGTTCGTTCGATCGCACTTAAGACGATATCGCTCAAATAGGAGTAGCTCTCACGGGTTCCGTGAAAGCTGTCGCCTTCTACATCGCCCAACATGTTAATGTATGGCGATGTGAGTGTAGTCCTTGGACGAACTACAAAGAGCTACCAGGTGCAACGGGCACCGACAACAACGTAATTGCCTACCAGTACGGAGTTAACTTTTACTGACAACAGTGATAGTCAGTGCCCCGCTAAATGTAAAACTACACAGAGGAAGATAAACGACTAAGGTGAAGACTCTAGTTGTAGAAGATGTAAAACTTATATTTCATGAAATTAAGTCCTGTAACTCTTGTTTCGCTATTCGACCTGACTCAATTATATTAATATAACTAAACGCATGATGACGTCTACTCACCACCCATTGCGCGCGTTTAGCAGCGATTGGTGGGTTGCTATAATCACAATATCAATCAATAAACAGACCTTTGGATCATTTTAACAATATCACTATACTTAGTGATATTGTTGAAAGACCATTCAGCGTAATATTCTTTATCACCATTTCTCACACATGGTAATTTCATGTTACGGGTTAACCCGTTACAGAACGGGCCAATGCGACTTAAATTTCGTTGTCCACGATGCGACGAGCACTTATGGCGTCGTCCAACGCGACGAATCATCTTAGCAGGGATTCTTTTTCGACTCCCTTGTGCTTCGGGATGCCTATTTCAAGCTTTCGGGTCGACGCACGTGTGTCAGCCCGCCCAAAGCAGCTTTGAAATGCTGCTATCTTAACAATTCTGTCTGTTAAGGTCCTTGCTGGTGAATCAAAGATGATATCCCATTCTTCAGCAAGTTTATTGTGGATGAACTTGCTGATATGATATCTTGCCAGTCTCTGTCTAGAGCCTCCTACTTGTCACTAATGGCGATGTATGTTAGAATACGCTCTCTCTGACAGGTCAAAAGTTCCTGCAGTTCAAGTGCAATACCTGTTGCAGGTAAGTCCGACCTCACCTAATTGGCTAATTATGTGACAGGTTGACACATGGGAAAAATTGAGACGGACGCCATCTGACAGGTCGATACATGGGACGAATCGAGACGGATACCATGTGACAGGTTTACACATGGGATAGGGATAGACGGACATCATGTGCAACTTGACATGGTCTGGTTGCATTTCCGTTTGGCTTTATGCGTACCGTAGTGTTGACAAAGGGAGTAGTTAGCACTACATATATTTTACTTTCACTTTCCTCTCCGTTCGCACAAGTGCAACTGTAACATATACTTTTAACAATGTCGATAAGGGAAGAACCCATTCGTTCAATTGCAGTACATTCGAGATCACATAAATGGGGATAGCCTTCACGGGCGTGAGCGATATTTCTTCCTCATCTAGCATGTACATGTTGGATGAAACGACCGTGGTCGCGGGGATGGACTACAAAGTGCTACGCGGTTCAATAGAGCGAACTTCTTACCAGATAAGTCGTTCGACCTTATTTCGATACGTTATAACGGTGTGCGTTCCCAAAACCTCACGTACACCGTACGTGCAGTGAAAGTGTATAATATGAGCAAGAGTTACTCAGAATGAGTGAAAGATAGACCTGTATGTAATATAGTTAACTTTCCTGATTACCTCAGTTGATCTTACTTTAACTGTATTAGACCAAAAAACACCAAAATGTAGCATCTCGCTTACCACCAACGGCGCGCGTCTAGCAGAGATTGGTGGTTTAGTTGGTCGGCATCATGACGTTTATCAATCAGTAGTGGAGCGCTACTGATTATAATCTGTAGAGGTAAATTTCTATCGATACTGACTCGCAAGAGTAGTATTGTTCAATATTACCACTTAAGATAATGTTTACGTCAAAATATATTCGTGCCAACGACATGTGAAATACTCACACCGTTACGCTTTTGATGAATTGTGGTAGTGCTTTCTCGGCGATCACATTGAGATTATTGACTTCAGCATTGCACATAATCGAATATTGTCCTTAGCTGAAAATATCACAGTTTCAACATTGAAAACAAAACCCACTTTTCCGATGGTCAAGACGCCCGTCGATATTCGCCAGCTCGGCGTCGCTTTTGGCGCTGGCGTAGCTGCTGCAATCGTCGCGCAATGCGCATACCGAGTCGTGCTCAAGCGCCGTCGACACGCCATTGATCGTGCGTCAACGTCGATCGCAAGAGAGTTTTCTGGAACCGATGCCGCTGCGCAGGAACTGCTAGCGGAGCAGATGTCCCGCGTCGCCTCTTTCTTTGGCCCTGAAAGCTTTGACAAGGTCAAAGACGCGTTTGTTGTGGTCGTGGGTCTAGGCGGCGTGGGTTCTCATGCTGCGCATATGTTGGCACGCTCGGGCGTTGGCAAGTTGCGACTCATCGACTTTGATAACGTGACGCTGTCGTCGCTGAATCGCCACGCAGTGGCTACACGAGCTGACGTGGGGCTGTCCAAAGCAGCGGTGATGAAGCGCCATCTACTCGAGATCGTGCCAGATTGTGAAGTCGAAGAGATGGCGGTCATGTTTGAGGCGAATTCGGCTGAGGAGCTGCTGGAAGGTGGCAGACTGAACAAACGCTGCAACGGTTTTTCTCGTGTCAACGACCTGAACAAAGACTGATAAGTTTATGCTGAGCAGGCGACATCACGTACGTGCTGGACTGCATTGATGACGTCAAGACGAAGTGTGCACTACTAGAGGCGGTAACGCGGAAGAAGCTGAAGGTGATTACAGCGACAGGAGCTGGTGCCAAGGCCGACCCGACGCGTCTGCAGATTGGATCGCTCAAGGACGCTGTCCGTACGTAGAGCGAGGTTGTGAGTCATCGGACAGGAGGACCAATGTCTCATGTCGCTGTTTTGCTTTCTTGGGTTGTCTGATGCTGTGTCGTAGGAGACCCACTTGCTACGAAGATCCGATACTTTCTAAAGAAAAAGGGCGTCTCGTCATCCGAGATTACGACCGTCTTCTCGAGTGAGAAGAGTTTGTGCAAACTGCTGCCTCTGAATGCAGAGCAGGCGCAAAGTCCTGAAGAGTTTGGTAACGTGGAGAACTTTCGCATTCGTGTGATTCCCGTGTTGGGAACAATGCCAGCTCTTTTTGGACAGTCAATGGCGGCCTACGTGCTCTGTGACCTTGCTGGAAAGAAGATCAACCCCGAAGCAACGGCGCGGCTATCGCGTGACCAGAGGAACAAATTGTACCAGAAGCTACAGCAGCGTGAGCACGTGCTGTTCCACGAGGGCCACAAGATCGAGTTGCAGAAGGACGACATTGAGTTCATTTACCAGGAAATATGGCGAGGCTGCAGCTCGGTTGGTGGAGCGAGGAACGGCGGCCACGATCGTCTGTACTTGTCTCGGTGGCGTGCGGACCGACCGCTGCACCCGGACAATGTGGTGTACCTGACGACGAGGGAGCTCGCTATCTTAGACAAGGACGGCGTCCAAGGCTTTGACCCTGCTATTGTTGCCCGCGTTGATGCGCGGCTCCGCCAGTTTGGCAGCTGGGCTGTGTTGTAGCAGTTGAGCAGTAGAAGGTTGATGCTATTAGACGTAGAGTGAAGTCCACGACGATAGGGCGTCGGGAATGTGCATGCTGAGACCGTCGCTAGAAGCGAATGAAAAAGACGGTCGAAACCTGGAAATCTGACATTCTGTACCGTCAAGTAGGGACACCCTGCGCCAAAACACTTGGATGTTGTATGCGCCCAGCCGTTATCGTGCACCAGTTGCTGTACAGAAGATCAAATTCACTCGTCTCATGGCTCAGCGACTTACCCGCGAGTCGTTCCCGCAGTGGATTCACGGCCTCGATGCGTTCCTTTTCGACTGCGATGGAGGTACAATAAAGTAGAGAACGAACGTATTGTACCGCATAATGGGCCGAGACCCACACATGGTTTGGTGCACTCACGACGTGACTATGCGGGACAGTTTTGTGGCGTGGAAATGCTCCGATTGACGGTGCGGCGACTATGATTCGACTTTTGCGACAGCTCCAGAAGCGCATCGTCTTTGTAGTACGTTACACACTAAAGAGCTGAACTGGAAGAGTCAGACGTAGTCGCTAGCGGTGGTAGTGGTGATGGGGCCATTTTACGGCATTGATTACTACTTACCATCTTTTCGTGTGTTGGAATGCCGTGTAGACCAACAATGCCACGAACAGTCGAGCGACTTACGTGAAAAAACTCGGTATGGATGGATGTATCTCCATTGTATCTGTCGATGCACTCGTTGAGATTCGACTGTCTCGAAGAGTTCTGGTCCTTTTCTCACCCTGGACGTGGACGTGGTGGTGTATGGGTGCGACTGGTCATGTGCGACAGCATCGCAGGGCATTCCTGCTGTCGAGGCCGATATTGTCACGTAAATCATGTAGCACGCGACTACTCTAGAGCGCTGGTTCTCAACTGATCGGACGCGGACTCGTGCTTTGTTTCGTGTGCGTCTACTCTTTTAGTTCTGCATGGGCTACCGTGCAGTACATGAAGCAACGCAAGATCGAAGGCAAGGTCTACGTGGTGGGTGAGGCGGGTCTCCAGACGGAGCTCGAGATGGGAGGGTATCAGGTCAGCGGCATGGAGCACAGCGACATCAAGGGGCTTCCGCACGTGCCGGATATCGACATGGAAACAAAAGCTGTTGTCTGTGGACTCGACCGGTATGGAAGTAGTACACAGAGGAGATTGTGGCTCTGATGTATGAAGTAAAGCTCATGTCAGTAACGTTGTGCGGTTGTCTGCACAGGTACCTTTCGTACTACAAGATGGCGCATGCTACAGCGTGTGTTCGTCAGATTCCGGGCTGCCACTTCATTGCCACCAACCCGTGCGTTCGTGTCGTCCTCCTATACTACTTGTTGGATGTCCACCTCAGTGATGATGTACGCTTTACGTTCCGAGCAGGGACTCGACGTACCCAACGGATGGCGCCGTTGTTCCTGGCGGTGGCTCTCTGGTCCACATGCTGGAGTGCGCTATTGGCCAGTACGTACACCCTTCCACCTCGCTGGAAGTACTCAGGTGCTTATCTTGTGGCGTTTGCTGTGCAATCCAGTCCTCCTGAGGCAGTGTGTGGCAAACCGTCGCAGGACCTGCTCCAGACCATCGTTGCCACTTACAAGCTGGATCCTTCACGCACGTGCATGGTGCGCTTTTTGTGCTCGCTGCATCTCGTGTAACGAGTAGGGCTCTGTCTGACACGTGACACTTGCTTCTTCCTGTCTTGTGCTCGTGGTGGTGCCATTTAGGTGGGTGACCGTCTTTCGACGGACATTGAGTTTGGCAACGCCGGTGGTCTGCACACGCTATTGGTGCTGACTGGCATCACGCACGAATCTGAACTAGGCAGCATTGCGAATGCTGTCCACGTGCCTGATCACTACGTCGACTCCGTGGACGTGATCAACCAGCTCCACACTGAAACGAGCATGTAGCATTTCCAGCTACACGATGCGTTCTGGCGATGTAGCTGCTTGGCCTGTCCATGCATGATGTCCACCATGTAAATCGGCCCATTCGGTCCAATTGAAGCACCGAGAACACCATTAGTCGGTCGTGCCTGCGCTGAATAAACACGGGCTTGCAACAACACGAGCGATATCTTACATTATTGACATTGACTAATTGGAGGTGTTGGCTTATAGCGATGGCGAGACACCGCCCCGAGTTTTCAGCTTAAGCCGTGGAATCGATCCGTTGCTGCCACTGTTCACAAACGCGTCGAACATTGAGAAACTGCCAACGCCCGCAGCGACACCAGCACCGCCTGCAAATCGGTTTGGCACACCAAAATGGTTTGCATTGGAAGCCCTCTTTGGTCCAACGGGAGCTGAGTTCATGCGACGCGCCCCTTCATTTCTTGTTGACGCATTACGTGCGCTTGCAGTGCGTGGGCCTGGTGATACAGCTTTCGGCTTCATGAGAACTGATGGACCTACTGGTGACATGAGAGGGGTGGGAGTCCGCAGCAGTCGTGGCATTGGTGACTTGGCCAAACGTTTCGTGATCTCAAGAAACTGCAGCTTCTTCGTGGGGGTCACATCCACTTGCTTCGCTTCCCGCTGTCGTTTCCGCGTCGGTGCACGCAGGTTTTCGGGCGAGTCATTGTCGCTCATCAGTCCGCTGCTGTTCAGACTAATGTTCAAATCTTCTTCGGCAATTATTTGATCTGATCGAGGCACGTCCGCGTCTGCTGTATCATCCGACAACGCTTCTCCCATTTCCGCCTGCTTCTTCGCTGCCAGCGACTTTGCCGCTCCTTGCTTTTGTGCGTTCTTCATGTTTTTCCCCAAAACTTTCGGTGTGCTTATATCTTGTCTCTTGCTCATTTGAGCGAGAAGCTCAGCGTTTGCTAGCCGATCCTTGATCGACATCATCTCCGTTTTACCAGCGGTCTTCCTCTTTTGTAGCGGACCGACCACACACTCCTCGACCTCAGCTACTAGTGGTGCATTCTTTGACTTCGAATTGGTCACACGATCTCGCACAACCTTGCCGTTTCCAATCGTCGTTTTGCGTACAGACCCGGCAGTAGTCTCAACACTTGCTGCACCCTTCTCGGGGATGGCAGCGATCGCAATCTTTGTTGCGGCCGTTCTCGCCGAATCATCTCCCGGTTCAGTACAGTTTGCTTTTTGGCGATCCTTTGCAACCTCTTTTCTGCGTTTCAAACGCTTTTTAACAGGCACCACTGGCGGCGCGGGCACCGGTTCAGCCTCGGGCTCGCCATCCTCATCGTCCTGTTCATCCCGAGCAGCTGCGTCCACTTCAGCCTGCCGCTTTGCTTCTGCCTTTGTAAAGTTGAAGTCCAGTGGTGGACTTCGTTTCTTCTTCATCACCTTTTTCTGAGCTGTTGGTACCTTCGTCTTCATCGGCAATGGTGGTTCTGCAACGTCTTGGACGCCCGGCAAGATCAAACTCATTGTGGATGGCTCATTATCGACATCCGAGTCACTGCTATCTTTGAGCATCGATAACAGATTCAGCAGACCGTTGTCAGGGAGCTCTGGCGGTGGACTATCGTACGCACTGACTGCACTCGTGGTCTTCTTTTCCTTCTCAGTGACAACCTCTTCATCGTCTGGTCTTGTCACTCGTACACGAACTGGTGCGATTCTCTTTCCTTTCGTCTTTTGATGCTCTTGCTTTTCCTGCGTCGCCCCACTCGTTAGCCCCTTCAAATTTGTTCTGCTCTTTTCCTTGCTCTTCTTCGTCAATTTTAACGCACTTTCGTCCGTCTGCGTGCCGCGCCCTGTCACTTTCTTCTTCCTTTCCACTTTTGCTCGCTCTTTTTCCCATTTACAACGCAGGGCCTCCTCACGCGCACGTTCAGCTTTCTCACGTGCCTCTTCTTGCTTCCTCTTCTTCTCTTCCTTGTGCTTCTTTTTTCTCTCCTTCTTCTCGCACTCAAGTCGACGTAATTGACAATTGTACTGTAATTCCTCTCGCTCCATCTTTTCCGTCAGAAGGAAATGCTGCCACGTTTTCTCAAGCCGCTGACACCGCAACTCAACCACTTCCCACTACACCACAGAAAGAAAGTATCCAAAGCGTCGAGTGTCATACAAAGTCACGTAAAAGCATCAAGAAAGGAGATCGAAGGACGCACTTGTAGGTCGTACGCCTCCAACAGGAGCTCTTCCGGGTGCACTCGGCCGCGCACGTCGTCGTCCGTCGTCGTCGTCGTCGTCGTCGTCGTCATTAGCATTGAGCTCTCATGAGACTTCATACGACTGGACCCAGCAAAATCAATATTTAGAGTGACGCACACCACACGACACGGTACCCGGTACACTCATACCGAGTCCACCCACTGCAGTACCGGTAGGTTTTTCTCGTTTAGAAATTGTTTGATCGATCGGTCGGTATCGATCGGATACAAGAGCGATGCCCCGCGCGCGATCATTTCTAAAAAAAGAGAGTCAGTCGTCGATCCTTTCGAGCACCATGACCGCAGGGGGCGACGCGCAGCTGTTTCGCTTGGCCAGCGGCATCTCGTGCCACGCGTGGAACAGAGACCGCAGCAAGTTGGCCATCTGTCCCAACTCGAACGAGATCTGGATCTACTCGAACTGCCACGCGCTGGACCCGTCCCAGTGGCGCAAAGAGGCCGTGCTTACGGAACATGATATGCTTGTCTGTGGTCTGGACTGGTCACCCGTGCACGACCAGCTGGTCTCGTGCTCGCACGACCGCGGTGCTTTTGTGTGGAAGTATGAAGCTGCGTACCGGCAGTGGAAGCCGCTGCTCGTAGTGCTACGTGTGACGCGCGCAGCTACGAACGTCAAGTGGAGCCCAGACGGTAGATCAAGGGATTGATATGTTGATTTACTGAGCGAGAAAGAGAGAGAGAGAGAGAGAAAGAAGAGTGGTGCAATGAGGCGATGCTGATAATGTTTTTGGTTTTTGTGTGCGGATGTATAGGCAAGAAGTTTGCAGTGAGCAGTGGTGCCAAGTGCGTCTCCGTGTGTTACTACCAGGAAGCAGAGAATTGGTGGGTGAGCAAGATCATCAAGCGTCACAAGTCCACGTACGTAGAAACAAACGGGAGACTGGTAACAGAGCTTGTGCAAAAGCTTGGCCAAAATAGTCACCTCACGTGTCGTGAGTGTGTAGGGTGACGGACGTGGACTGGCACCCGAATAGCCAGCTACTGGTGACTGCAAGCACGGATCTCAAGTGTCGCGTGTTCTCGGCGCACGTGAATGACGTGGACGGACCACCTGACGCAGGTCCGTTTGAAGCTTTGCCGCCTTTTGGTGAGCCGCTGGCGGAGTTCGACAATGCTAGCGCGTGGGTGAATGCCGTGGCGTGGTCTCCGAAAGGCGACTGCTTGGCGTTTGCTAGCCAGGGGTCATCCATCCACATTGTGCACTTTGGTGCGCCCGGCGAGTATCCGACGATTCAGGTACTGTTCGAGAGGGAGGGAGACGTGGATCGTCGCTTGGTGTTCACTTGATGTTTCTGCGCTATCTGTGCCGTGTGGTGCACGTGAAAATGCATGATTAGTCGATTCGGTTCTCGCACCTGCCGCTGATGCGGATCACGTTTCTGTCGAACTCCGCCATTGTCGGCGTGGGCTACGATTTCAATCCGATGCTGTTTTCTAAAGATGGCAGCAACTTTTGGTACGAAGTCTGCTTTCCGTAGCGCAGTAGTGCTTGGCATGATGAAGTGATACATTTTTGGTTAATGCAGGTCGTTTTCTGAGTTCGTGGACAAAAAGCCGACTGAGGCTGCTGTGAAGAGAAACTTGGGCGGTTTTAGTGCAGGCACGCTCGAGTCATATGTGATACTGCAACGATATCGTGCTGACTCTGCAGTGTGCACGTGTGTCGAATTCAGCCCGGAGCTTATTTGAAAGCAAAGTCACGCGTGGACAGTCGTCCGATGCTACTCAACACGATAAGAATATGTTGTGGATGTACGTTGATGTGTCTGATCACGAGTAGAGCCTCGATTTGTTTGGGCGAGTTGCTGATGACTCGATTGTTGACTGCAGGAAACACGAGAGCAACATTACGTGTATCCAGCCTTACGCCCGGTCCGCCTCTGGTGGTGTGACGGAATTTTCCACTTCAGGTATGTACCATGCTCAGGCGCTTCTGGTGCTCGTGGTGGCTCTGATTGTTTTTGCTTTTGGTTAGCGCTTGACGGCCGCGTGGTTCTCTGGAAACTGGGGAGTCTACGCGTGGAAATGAGTAAGCTGCATCTGTAAACAGACATGGTTTTGCCGTCGCTGACGAAGTGAACCCACGCAAGATACTCGCAGTCAAGCGGAAGATAAGAGCACTCGCGGTGGCACCTTGACGATACACTCGCAGAATTGAGCTTCAGTGCCAGAATGAACACGGTGTTGGAAGGGAAGTCTTTCACCTTGCTGGCGATTGATTTGTCACACTCGTCCCCTCCACTTATTGGCCTCCACTATTTGTGTTGTGACGAAAGCTATTCGTAAACTCGCTTCAGCCGTTTATACTCTTGGCGATACTGGTTCTCAACGACCGATGCATGGCGGAAGTCTTTCCATTCGGGGAACTCCGTGAGCAGCACCGTCGGATCGTAAGACAACAGCAGCTGGATGCCCTGACTTACGTCATTCAACGTACGTGCGAGATCGATGTGGTCCGGGTTCAGGTACGTCCGCTGAAGCTCGAGCAGCTCGTAACTGCTGCGCAGGAACAGAATCGAGTACTCACAAAGTCGCTCAGACTTCGTGCGCAGAAGCAGATCACACGAGTCCGCTACCAACTTGTGGATGCGCATAAATACCAGGTGATCATGAGCTGCAATTTCCAGCGCGTCTGAGAGTGCCTCCAGCGCTACCGATAACGCAGCAGCAGCACTTTTCGGCTTCGCTCGAATCACCTCCTCTGCAGCAGCTAGCACCTTTTCCAAGTCTTGCATGCACGGCTTCGTGCCACCACTGCCACGAGCAGCACTGGATGGTGGGGGCAATACGCTATCCCCTCGCTTGCAGAGCTCACACTTGCATTCAAAGCCAAATTGCTCCCAAAGGTTCTTCAGTCTGTTGTCGCGACTCTGTTCGCGCGGATATAGATAAGAAATCGTAAGCTGCTCTCCCTTGGCAATGGGTCGTGCCACCCGCACCTCCGACACGGCACCTTTCGGTCCCAGACCTTCGGGCGTAAACTTGACACAGTTCGGGTTACACTCGTGATTGAACATAGCACTGTACAGGAAGATACCGCTGTCGAAGGCGTTGCACTGCATAGCCAGTACATTCTGCAGCACTTGGTCGCGCGAGAGTGCTAAGGAATCAAAGTTCAAGCACAACGCGTCCACTTGCAAGCCGTACTTCTCCCTTGCTGCAGCGAGCAGTTCTTCCGGCAGCTCGCTGAGATCTTCAGGGTACAAATTGCTCAAACGGTCCATAATGTCGGCATGATCAGGCCGCACCAGCACGGACTCCATCGTGGCCAGAAAGAACTCGGGGTCTGATGCATCCACGTCGCGCGGCCAGGGCACGTACACCTGCTCCACGAGCACTTGTGTACCCGGATCCAAATCCCTCAATGCCACGTATCCGCGTGATCCACCGACACTGTCAAAGCTCGTGACCAGATCAATGGGCCCGACTGCCAACGGCTTGACATCGTCCCAGGTCTCGTACAAACTGCGTGGGACTGGAGCTGCTGCTTCCTGCTCATCTCTCGTGGCGACCGCCGGCCTGGATTCAGCACGCGTATTAACGTGCACTTCTGTGGGAGGTGCCACCAGCGGCGGCGTTGCTGTCTCATCGTCACTGCTGTCGTCGTCAAAGAGCCCAAAGGCTGCCTGGACCGACACACTCGGCTGGCTCGTCATGCCACCAATGAGTGTTTATGTAGCGCACACCACATTCACGCAAATGATTGTCGCAAGGGCCAATACCGACACCTCGTTTTTGTGGCGCTTGCGGCACCCACATCTCGACGCGCCCGCGGTACTACCGGACCAATCTATGGTCGAGGACTGGAGCGTCGCCGTTGCTGGCCGCAAGCACGAGCGCACACCACTTCCGTCGTCGCCGACGCACAAAGCGCAGCTCCCTCTATCGTCTGTGGTCGTCGGGCCAGATCCCTCGCGTTTGCCGCATGGCGGAGGAGACCCCCTGTCGCACGCACACCCCCACCCCTACTTGCAGCAGAGTGATGGTCTGCCGCGCGCAACGTCCGGGTTGCCTCTAGGTCGACGCATGCGGTTGACGTTGGGCCAGAAGCGCGAGGTCGTGGACCTCGCAGCGAGCAAGAAGTTCACGCACCGCGAACTGGCCGAGAAGTTCCGCGTCGGGCGCACGACCATTACGAACATTTGCCGCCAAGAAGATCTGATCCGCACGGAGACCGACTCGGCCGATGCGGCCAAGAAGAAGCGCAAGACGACCAAGTGCACGTACGACTTGCGCGTGCTGGACGAGTGCCTGCACAAGTGGCGGATGGAAGTCAAGGTCTCGAGTCCCGAGAGCAAGCTCACGGGCACGGTCTTGCAGCAAAAGGCCATGGAACTAGCGTGCAAGATTGTCCACGAGCCGTACGCTGATCTGCCGGACAAGGTGAAGCAAGCGCTGCAGCGCTTTACTGGCTCGAACGGCTGGTTGGATGGCTACCGGACGAGGTTTGGCTCGTTCAGCAGCAAACAAGGACAGGGCGACGGCGAGCCAAGTGTGATCAAGAGCGTTGACGTTCAGACGAGGCTACGGGAATTGCACCACAGTTTCAGCCACGTTAAGCTCGACGAGATGTGGACGGGCACGGAGTTTGCCGTGATGTACAAACCTCCGGTACCGGATGGAAGTGGACCGACCGATGCAAATCATGGAAGGTACACCGTGTCGCTCTTTATAAGTGCCGCAGGAGAGAAGTTTAACATGCAGGTGATTGGTGTCGATCGGCATCCAGTGCTATTGGAAGGAATCGATACGAAAGAGATGTACGATATTCAGTACGACTACTCCAAGACAGGATGGCAAGTCGCACAGACGATGGTGAGCATGCTCAAGTCCCTCAATGCACTTGCTCGTGAACGAAAACGCACGTTCCGAGTGGTGCTCGACTCGGCCGTGCCACATGTGAAGGCTGCCATGATATTGGATTCGCAAGGTGATCAGCGCACGTTCTTTGTGTACGATCATCTTCAGATTTACTTTTTGCCGCCGAATTTCAAGTCCGTGCGGTTCCATCCGTGCCACCTTGGTGTGATCCAAGCGTTTAAGGCGCGCTTCCGCAGCGAGATGCTCGAGTCGTTGTTCAGCAGTTATCGCCAGAGTGTAATTCGACAAGACCCACGTGGCTTCCACCCGCAACGACACTTGTACACGCGCAACGTTTTTCATTGGCTTTACGTGGCGCTTCATAGCCTTGACACGCAGCTTATTCAGAGCTGCTGGGTTCACAGCGGCCTGCTGCCTACGCATGTGATTGCATCACTTAACTTGCGTGCCATTTTGAAAAGTAATGACTCGACTCGATCGTCCGTGAATGTGATTCCAAGCGCATCCAGTAGCAGCGGTAGCGACAGTGCCAGTGCAAACTCGGAAACAAGTGGAGTGAGTAGCGCGACTTTTAACGATGGTGCTGTGTCGACCGCTGTTGCTACTCAAGGAGGTTTACCGTCTCCAGCACAGTTGTACGGTGACCTGCAGCAGCAGCTGACAACTATCGCCCGGCTTGCTCCTGACTTTCTATGCTGGATTGGCGTGTCTGATCCTAGCAATGCGCAGGCATACGCAGAGATTGACGGCAACGCTTCGGTCACTGATTCAGGCATCGACGAGGTCCAGATCATCCGCAGCGTGTTACAAAAGCACGGGTACTTGTTCACTAAGAAGCTCGATGATGAGAGTCGTACAGAGGGGGCGCACGAAAGTTTTGCCGACGTAGCTGAGGAGCCGTGCCCGCGTCACGACGAAGTTGTGGCTTCGATAAGTGTTCTAAAGAAGTACCTGCGTCTATCTCGGGACGCAATACCATCGCGCGTTGAAGCAGTTGTGCAACTCAACCAAGTCAAGAGAGCGGTTGACTTTGCTGCCGCCCGTGCAGCAGCTAATCGTGATGTGTGAGCGCAAAGCTGGACGAAGTAAAGTGTGTAAGTATAGTTATATTCTACATGTACTCGGCGTCATGTTGACCGTGTATCGCACCGTCGTCGCCTTTCATCTTACTTGTGCCAGCTGGCGACACGACCTAGTTAGTACACTGTCCGAAGTTTGTACTTGGTGGGGCTTGCTGCTATGCTGGTAGATTCATCGAGCTGTCGATTTGCTTGCGCAGCCATAGGTGGCGGAGATCCCATGGGCAGAAGTCCTACGGAAATAGGAGGTGGTAACTCGTCATCCTCCAGTGGCAGTATTGTGCGTTCAGCAATGGCCTGCTGCTCGATGCGACGTTGACGGCGCGCATAAGCTACAAGAGTACGAAGAGCACTGACTATCCAGTCGCGGTGACTGGAACTCTTGGTCTCCAAGTCCAACGTGCGGTCCCGGAAAACGATCGAGAACGAGAGCGCCTCGAGTGTATTGGTGGATGGATACTTGCGAAACACAGCAGTCTGTCGACCGTTGAGCACTTGCAGAACTTCCGCTAGGTCCACAGCTCTGCTCAGTCCGCCGCGTTTGTGCTGCCACTGTAGTGTTCCGCAGCAGTTACAGTGGAGTCTGGTAGCATGAGCACCGCCGCGCCGTCCATACTTGAGCAGCGGGAAAAACATGTTGATCGCCTGGACCAAGTACGAGCGATGTTTGCCGCCAAAGCGAAACGCCAGCTCGACAATCTTCCACCGAGCACCTTCAATCGTCTCCAGTTCCTCGTCGGTGAACAAATACGTCTTGCGCTTCTTTCTCAAATGCAGCGTCGCTAAAACGCGGGGACAGATTCTCGAAAACGCACTCTTCTTGTGCTTCTTGCCAGGATGCACCTCTTGCGAAACGGACGTGGGGCTAAGAGGCGGGGGTGTCAGCATCAAGGATCCATCGTCGCTAGGAGACGAGATGCCGAGATCATATGCAGACGGGCATGACCCAGCTCTCCCCCGTTTCGGGCTAAGCGCAGACTTGCGGCGGAGTCCATACGATTGAGCCAGCGGCTTGCGCATCTGGTCGGAATCGTCTTTCAGCTCAATCACTAACCGTCGCACGCTCGAGGTGAGCTGGTCCTGGGCGGACAACATTGCATGCTCGGCTGCACAGCCGAGCAGCTGAGTACGTCGTCGCTGCTGTAGCTGGTGCTCAGTAGGACTCAGCTCGTGTGCCAGCTCCAAGGACGTCTTCTCTTGCTCACCGCTGACTCTGCCGTGCTCGCAGCTGTTATCCAGCTCCAGCTCGTCGACGTCCTCAGTGTCGTCGACGCCATCATCGGCCTCCTCGCCACAATCAGCACTCTGATTCAACTGCTTTGCTGCGGTGCTAATCAGCAGAACGTCCGACTCCTCAATGAGACTCTCGCTCTCGATTCGGCCCATCAACTTGCGCACACTCGTTTGAATGTCTGCCTGATCAAAGTGTAGCAGCTCGTCACCGCTCGCACATGCTTCACTTCGTTCCAGGTCGCTATTCTCGTCAAAAGGTGGTGCAACGTCCTCCGCCGCTGAGCGTCGCACCGATCGACGTCCCTTCCCTTCCATGCTCTTCTGCCCATCGATGCTCACCCCGTCCGTCGCTTCTTCCTCCGCTTTTCGAGTCGCCTTGTCTTCCGTATGCTGACCATGCAGTGTCAGCACTGCTGGTGCAAAACTCGCATGCAAAGCGCCAAACTCTCCCATCTGCACTTCGAGCGTCGCCCTCCGCCAGCGCTCCTCGTGACTCGGTGGCCTCACTAGCGTCGCTGCAGCAAGCGGTCGCACTGGGTAAAACTGAAGCCGCTCAATCGACCCGTCCTTGCTCGTTCCGCTGCCGCATGGATTCCACATCGTTATGCTCGACTGCACCGTGGCCGTTGTCCCCGTGCTGCAGCGAGGTGCAGACGGCGCCGTCTCCTTTGTACGACCATCACTGCCGCCATCCTCGTTGTCGTCTTCGTCGTCGTGGTCACCATCGTGCGCCTCCTCCTCGTCGTCTTCATCGTCGTCGTCTTCCTGCACCTTTTCTTCGTAGCAGCAGAGACTTTGGCTGCTACTGCGTGCGTCTTCGAGATTGCTCTGAAACGCACTGCTACGTCGGACCATCGCCGACAGTTTGCTCAGTAGCACGACGCTGGACGAGCGCTGGCGACGGCCCGGCCACGTCTGCATCGACGTCGACTCGAATAAAAAATGAGCTGGAACCCAACGCAACGAAAGAGAAAACCCCACGCGCGGGACGACCCGAGAAAAGCAGAGAAACCGTCCGACCGCTGCACAGGCAATGGCTGCCGCGACGTTTTCTCTGGACAGGACGACGGCTAAGAAGAGACTCAAGAGCGAAGACAGGAGGTCGCTGACTACCGTGGCACCTGACCGGGTGTTTGTTGCGTAGGAGGACGCGCTGGCGTCGGTCGTCCAAATGTGTCGTGCAGTGTCCCCCATCATCCGACTCTGTCAGTCACTCGCCCGCGCAGCGTCGTCCCGACCGCCACCCCGACGCCGTCACTTTTCCTCTGTTGTAGTGGTCGTCGGTGTCCCCTACGGACGCGCGCCTTCGCCCCATGTGCGTGCGCATGTGTGTGTGTGTGTGTGCGCGTGGCCCAACTCGGTCGCTCGCCCGCGTCTCTGCGCGACCCGTTAGCAAATGCTCGTGAAACGGTCGCGCCGTCAAGCGCGTCACTGACCGCAGGGTAAAAACCAGCCAGAGGCGTCGATGATGCTGGCCATAGCCGGGGCCGCGTGCGAGCGCGAGCGCTCATTCGCCACGGGCTCCGATGGCGGCTGTCTCTTCTCTTGTTCCCACTTGAAGCCGAAGCACCGAAGCGAAGACGACAGAAAAGAGCCATCACTGGACTTTCCCGGCCGGATGAGGGATGCAGTCCTTCCGTGCTGCTGGCCTCAACCCGACTGGCCACAGCGTCTGACGAACGAGGTGGACCACATTGATTAAACTGCTAAGTACGAGGATGATCCCGACGAGCGTGCGGGTGGTGCTGCTGCACATGTAGCCATTTGCATCAACATGGTGAGTGGTGGCAAAGTGCCTCGACGCAGCGGACGGACCCGTCGTCCCCAGGGCTCAGTCGCTCGACTGCAGGGCGGGACTGACACGGTCTATCCAAGTTCTCGCTTGCTGGTGTGGCACTCGCGCTTCACCTACGCTGCGTCTCGCCACGCGAGCGTCGTGGAGGGCCACGCCCTCAATCAGCAGCTCGAAGTGTACCTTCCAGCCAAAGCTGGACGAGCTACTGCGCAGTCGCTGCAATGGGAGACTGGTTTTTACTACGAGGTGAACGCGTCCGTGGCTATGTTTCTATCGCCTGCTTTCATCCGCACGTACGTCATGGACGGCGGGGCGGTGTTTATGGTGGCCAAGAACGTGGCAGTGGACGCATCGCAGTCTGCAATGCTGCTACCTCCTGGCCATTTGTTGCTGTTGGTGGATGTGGATACATACCAGCAATTGGGAATCGTGGGTGAAAAGTATGGCAAGGCGGTGCCTGCAAGTGGCAAGACAGCGCATGCAAAGCGGGGACAGAAGTACGTCATTACGCTGGACCTGACGTCGTCGGTGTTTCGTGCTGAAGCAGGAGATGCGGGTCGGTCGGCAGAGCGAGTGCGAAGGGTATTGAGCACAAAACTCAGTCATCTAGACATGTTGCTGTGCGCATACAATCAGCGTGGTTCACCACGCACGATCTTGTTTGGAGATGATGACACGGTGCCACGGGTACGCGTTGAGCTGGATGGCCACACGACGACGTTCAGCGACGTGTTTCTGCCCAAGTTCGATGCGTTTTACAAGGCGCTGAGTGCGAGTGCCGAGCACAGAGATGACCGAATGGACATGTTGCGAACGTCGTTGCAGGAGGCGTATGACTGGTTGGGGCTCGTAGCCTGTCGGTTGACCAATTTGTTGCAGCGAGAAAAGCTGGAAGAGTATGTGTCGACGTTCGCAGGCGTTCCTGGTTCGTTCGAGTGCGAACCGGGCAGTGAGGTCACGACAGTGCGGTGGCGCGGTCTGCTGGCCGCGCCATTTTGCTCAACTATCGTTGAGAAGGTGCAGCTTGCTGTCAAGAATGGGGACTTGCCGTGGGGTGCCGTCACAGTGTGGGGGTTTCCGGACGTCTTTGAGTCGTGGGTGCAGACCAAACGAAACAAAAGTGCGAAAGGGACGAGCGAACCTCAGCGACGAGAGCATGGCTACCTAGGGAATGGTAGCAACAACTACACAATGCTCATGCTTCCAAATGATGAGTACTTCGTGCTGCAATCGCTCGGCCCACATGACGCCACCATGTAGTTGCGAGAACGTACCGACCGATCGTATCGACCACACTTAGACTCGACTTGGACAACTACAATTGATTTAGGCACTCAGTTGCATGCAAACGTTTTCCAGAGTCTCCCGTTGTTGCTACTTCGCAAGAACTTCTGACACAAATGCTACAACTGTGGATGAGTGAAAGTTAGAATCAGCTTCAGCGAGGGTCATCGCCATCCTAATGTGCTTGCGCGCCATCTTGGCGTTGTTCTGTTTCCCATGAATGAGTGATAGCCGCAAATTTGCCAAGAAACAAGCAGCAATGTCACTATTGCTACTCGCGGTGGTGGCAGCACTGCTCGCATCGTTGTCCGTGCCATCGGAACCAACAGATTTGGTCGCTGTCAATGAAGCTACCAGCTTCCACACGTTGATAGCAGCGTCCAAGAGCTGCAGTTCTTCGTAAAGCCCACCCAGCTCAAGAAGGATGGGAAACAATCGGCCGGAACAAGTCGCGGCGCTATCTGAGACAACAGCTACCATGGCCAAGTATTTCTTGATGGCCTTCGTTGGGTCCGAGACGGACAATAATCGCGCTTCTAACAGGTCAGTGTCCACCAAATGTGCTATAGCACCACACTTCTTGCCTGTCGCTACCCGGTCCAGAGCTTTGTCTGCGGTAGCAGTTGCCTGTCCGTGCATGCCGAGCCTAACAAAGCAATAGCTCATCAACAGCTCCAACTGAGCACCGTCGTACTCGTTTCCGCTCGTACGGGCGGACAACGACAGACCAGTCTGCAACAACCGCAGTAGTTGGCGAAGAACTTCATCGATAGACTCATCCTTTGCTTGAAGGCTCATCCGCTTTAGAATACTCGTTCCAGCCACAACGTACGCCTGTGGGTTCCACGGTTGGGCACGGATCAACTTCTGCGCATCCCAGCACAACCCTTCTGTTCCCGATGGACCAGCCTTGAACAATCCAAGAAAAGCATCGAGGAAGTTGCGATCGTCTGTCTCCTCACCAGGGGACAAGAAACTACTCGCAGGTGTTCGCAAGTACTCAGCAAGACAACTAGACACCTGAAGGGTTTGTGAATCGATCGCCGCAAGAGCCAACCTTAGCCACACCGTGCTGGAACTGGCACCGCCACTGGTTTGCGACAGAGCTTGCAGACGTGTGAGGCAAGCCTCGTTGGCGCCCACCCACCGCTCATGGAGCTCCACCGAACGCAGATTCAGATGGTCGCGCTTGGAAAGAGTCGACTCTGCTTGATCAATCGATGACAAGAGGTGGTTTTTGCACACTGTTGCGAGGCGATTTGCTTGAGGAGTGAACTTGTCCACTAGCAGGGCCGCCATTGACAGGCCCACCAGGGCAACAGCATCGTTTTCCCTCGTCTGAAGGTTTTGATTGGACATCAGTTCCTGGAGTAGATCAAGCGACTCGCCTTCCTTTGACTGACGGTATAGAATCTGCGCTTGCAGAATGGCTTCTAGTGCAGGGGACCTTCCTGTGGGCGACTTGATCAACGTGGCAATCTCTTGCAATAGTGCGGTTTCATTTGTTGCAGAGCTCTGAGCTGTAGCGGAAAGTTTGCCAAGTGTCGCTAGCAGTGTGTTCCATTCAAGCCCTTCAAGCGCCTGTGGCGACGAGGCCGCGCGGGCGTAAGATGTCAAGGCGCTTGAGTACAGTCCCAAACGATGCTGCACGATACCGAGTGCATGCCAAGCGCGCCCGTTGAATGGGTCTCGCTCCAGACACTTTGTCAAAAAGAACATTATCTGTTCATTCCCGTGCTCTGGAGCATCCGTGATCGATTCGTCAACGCCGTCTCCACAATAAAGCAGTATCATACACAAGCCCAGCATAGCATCAAGATCTAATCCCGTCTGTAGCGCACAGTCAAAAGCCTCAATCGCTTTCGTTTGCTCAACTGCTGAGTCAGCTTGACGACGAGCTAGCATTGCATACCCGTTCCACATGGACGGGTTGTTTGGATTTACACTCTGTAGCTGGAGGAACGACTTTCGGGCCAGAGATGTCATTGCCGCCACGGCGTCGGCATGGCTGAGGTAAAACATGCCCAAATTTGCCCATGTAGCGTCGCTGCTGCTACCAGTTTGAATTGACCGTGTCCACGCAAACTGCTTTACCAGTAAATTGTCAGACACAAGTGCCAGACCATTCCAAGCTAACGAGTACGAAGGATCCTCATCGAGCGCTAGCTTGAAATTCATCAATGCTTTTGCTTTGAGTTCCGCAACGGGGGCGTCTTCACCAGAGTTGGCGGGGCTCTTTTGGATCGAAAAAGCTGATGTGCAGTTGCCATGTACGTTGTTAAGAGCTTCGGCTTCGTACCAATAACTCAGACCGACATCATAGTATCTCTCTGACACGGCAGCCACATCAGAAGTATCGGTAGTTTCCTGTTCACACTTATCGGCAAGTAGTACGGCTGCCTCATATGCCTCCCTTCCTGCGCTGATGAAATCAACCCAGCTAGACTCTTTGCTAGAAAAGTCCTCTGGTGACAAGTAGAACGCGAAACAGTGAATATCGCCGATCAGCTTACACACTTCCACGGATCCAGAGAACAAAAAAGTGGACGGCAGTCCCTTCATGGTATCCGATGCTTCGATCAGATTTGCAGCTGCGCTACCATATAGTCCTTCCGCACACAAGCATTTCGCTTGCTGGAAAAGCAAGTCGGAGTAAATCATGGAGGCGGCACCCACATCTGGGTCACTATCCTGCAACTCGCCAGTAACTACCGGTTTGATGCGCTTCAAGGCATCATCAAAAAGCAATAATGAGCCTTCGATCTTTGCCAGCTCGCAGCGAACGCACCAGCTTTCTTCACCCAGGTCAATAGCCTTCAAGTACGATCTCTGCGCAGAAACTTGCTTGTCAAAGTTTTGGTAAACATGTGCCAGAATTACCCAGTAGTGAGCATTCATAGGATCGTTGCGCAGCACCAGGTGCATCTTTCCCACCGCAGTCTCATCATTTTGCTCCACAAGGTGTTGCACTAGCCTCAAAAGCGCCCACGTAGGAGCTGTCTCTTGATTCTCAGTTAGTCGCTGCCACAATGCTATATTTGCCATGTCGTTTCCCTGCAGATCGTACAAATTGCTCAAACCGGTACCTGCTAGCTCATCAGCAGGAGACAGCGAAAGCGCCTTCAAAAAGCATTTCTCGGCACGCATGACATCGTTTGCAATGTTCTCGTACCACTTACCCAACCAAGCAAAGATCTCTGCGTCGGATGGTGTCAACTTGGCGGCTTGTAGCAAATGACCGAAGCACCCCGTTTTGGCTGTTTGATGAGAGCCACCCAAATGCCAATATACAATTGCTAATCGCTTGAGCGTTCGTCCCTTGCCAAAAGTATCACTCGGCTCAATCTTGCTCACATTTGCTTCCAACAGCATTTGAGCCTGCTTTATGTCGCCTAGCTGAAAGCGAAGCCATCCACGCAAGCATAACACCGTAGCAATCGCGCTTTCGTCCTCCAGCTTAGGTACAGATATAGAACTGAGAATGTCAAAGGCCTCTTGCGGTTGCGCTTTGCTTGCCATGAGCTCTGCTGTTGCAATCGCCGCTTCTGCCGCAAAACGAAGATCGGTGCTCGTTATGACATTCCGGTAATGCTCCAGAGCCTTCTCCACCTCGCCCGAGTACTCGCGTGCAGTAGCCGTCATAAACAGCAGCTTTACTTCAGAATACCTACATTCAGCGCGCACGATACTTGAGTCAAGCACCGAAGAACAATGCACTACCAAGAACACATCCACGGCTTACAGCTCAGGATGCGGACCTTGGGATCCCAGACACGCTGTCTTTTCCGCCACCACCTTCCTAGCCAATGCGAGACGATTTAGGCAGCCTTCCACATCCCGTGCTGAGAGTGCGATGGACGCCAACTCGACTTGAGCGCGGATGCAAAGAGCGCATTCTTGAAAGGATGACGAAGAGTATCCTGCGAGTGCTTCAACGAGACGTTCTCGAGCCTAGTACAACAGGACGAGTTCGCAACGGTCAGTACGTCAACACCTAGGAACGGAACACGGTATGAACTTGCCTCACTACTGCTCCCCTCGCACAAACATTCGATCGCTCGAAAGACAAGAGCCATGACGCTCTTGGGATGCCTCGCAAACAGCTTGGCTGCAACTTCTTTAGCTTTATCGAACCCGATAGCTGTTGATCAAGCATTACACGTATACTTGTGAGTAGTGTCATCTGCTGTTTGTTTAGCTGCAGACAACAATTTGGAACAAAACTCACGGCTATCCCGATCCTCAGATCGGAGGAGCAAAAATTCTGCTGGCATCTTAGATTCAGGGAGCCACTCGACAATCGACATTGCCAAGGCATCGATGGTCTTGAGGAGGGCGTGCTTTGTTTTGGAAGTTTGTAACGAATCCAAGTAAAAGCGCATAAAGAATGCGATCGCAGCGTCCACTCGCGGCCGAACTGCGTTGAGCTCATCAGTAGAAGTCTTCCAGTCCAAGCGAGATGCAGCGGCGAGACACTGACTAGAGATTTCCTCCATTGAGTAGTTGCCGGTACAAGCTGATAGACTGAAACCGGGACGCTATGAACGCAAATATGACGCTTATTAGCTTGACGAGTACACAGCACACAAGGACTTGCAATGTCTTACCTGTAGCAGATCGACTAGATCCAGCCATATAGTCAACGTGGACGGTAGCTCCTCATTTGGAGTCTCTTCCATCCCCAAAGCTCCAGTCTGCTTCCCCACAAGTGAGAACCACGCGTCAAAAGCCTGCACATCAAGCGCGAACACAAATGAGTACTCACACCAGAATAAACAAGCATAAAGCGCTTCGTGAAGTTTGACGAAGAAACGGAGCAGCAACGTACTTTTGGAAGCATCTTGAGCTCTAATGCCGTAGCTGCAACTTCTGCGACCCACTTCTGGCATCGCTTGAGCTTCTTGCTTCTACAGACATCATCAAATATGCACACAGCATATCAGCAAAAAGATCCATACACGCGTTTCGGCGGTCTGTCCATCAAAGCACCTCAGATTTATATCTACAAGTTTTTCCATCGGCTCCAACTTGTTCTTCAAGTCATTCTTGGCCTGAAACAGGTCTACAAGGTGCTACAGAAGTTACACATATACGTAGAAACGATCAGTTGTCATCTAAAAATGAACAAAAAAGTGGTTCACCACCTTCCATGGCGCTGGCATCTCCGGCTTCAAACCCGAAGCTCTTCGATACGCTTCTTCACATTCTTCCCACTGCAATAAAAAAAGGTTGTCAGCAATAATGGTTTCCCACAATAAGTGCCGTAAAAATGAACACTGGATCCTGTGGGTGAACCCGACAGTGGATAGTCGCGAAACCTGACCTGCTGGAGATGGAAGCTAGCGAGCCCCACGCACATGAACGCCTGAAAGTTGTTCGGGTCGAGCTGCGTTACACGACGAGCAGAGTCCTGAGCCTCTTGGTATCGCTCGGCCTTGAGCAACGCCGCTGCATTCACCAGCATCTGCTTCAGCAGATTCGCCGACATCTTCGTTTCTAAAATAGAAATAAGACCGAGTGAGACGGAAATTGGGCTCCTTTTTGAACACGTATCATGGCCTAGTTTGTAAAAAACCCCACACATTTGACACAATTGAACCACTCGTTTGCCAATAGGAGACAGATAGATAGACAAACGCCTGAACATGTTAAAGGTCGGCACTGCGACGCTGACGCGGCGCTCGCTCACTCCTCTGCTAAATGCACGGTCCAGCACTGGCTCAAGGATTCCCTCTTCGCGCTCATGGGCGCTACAGCTTCTTCCTGTAGAGCTGAGCGGGCGGTCGTATTCTGCTCGGTCGTCCACGGCGCCAGGTATTTCGTATGACGGGTGATTGGGTTAAATTGACGAAACGGGTGTATTCATTTGGGTCTTTGGGTTGTTTTTGTAGTGACGCAAGCCAAGGCACAAATGGCCGTAGCAGCACTGGCAACAGCTGGCGCTGCTTACTTGTACATGACGTCAGAGCGTCAGAGCAAGCAGGAGAAGCAGCAGCGCGAGCTAGAGATTGAGAAAGAGCGAAAGCTGAGCAGTCGACTTGCCGCAGAGCTCGTGGCAGCCGAAGCGAATCAGAACAAATTGGACTGGAAGGCCACGCTCGAGCGTGTCGTGCCGGCGATCGTGTCGCTCAAGCTCAATTCGCCCAAGGTGGGCGGATGAGTAGATGCTGTTTTGTGAGTACGACAATGAGTACTGAAAGTGGGTGCTCGCTGTGTGGCTTGGGCTTTATAGTTCTTTGACACAGAATCACCAGGCAACGGATCGGCCACGGGCTTTGTGGTCGATGCTGAGAAGGGGATTATTCTGACCAACCGCCACGTTGTAGGACCAGGACCGATTGTACGATCGATGGGGACGTTGTTGTTGTTGTTGTTGCTGTTGTTGTTGAGGGTGTAAGAAGATCGCAATTATTTTGACCGTATACGCTGTCGGAACTTGCAGGATGCGGAGGCTGTCTTCCAGAACAATGAAGAAGTGCGAGTGATTCCTATTTACCGCGACCCAGTTCATGATTTTGGTTTTTTCCAATTTAACCCGGCAGTAAGTAGTCTTGCACTTTGTTTGTTTGTGACTGGCAGTGAACAAGTTCTGATTGTGTTTGCGTTGCTGATGGGCAGGACGTTAAGCATATGTCAGTGCCGTCTCTACGTCTGGAGCCGGAGAAAGCTACCGTTGGGACCGATATTCGAGTAGTGGGCAACGATGCTGCTGAAAAACTCGCTATTGCTAGCGGTACGCTGGCGCGCCTGGATCGTGACGCACCCAACTACGGATACAACAGCTACAACGACTTTAACACGTTTTACTACCAGGCTTCGTCAGGAACGACCGGGGGTTCTTCCGGCTCGCCTGTACTCAACCATGACGGCGATGCCATCGCTCTCAATGCCGGTGGTAAGATTGGCACTGCAGCGTCCTTCTATCTGCCACTGGATCGAGTCAAACGGGCGTTTGATCTAATTCGAGAAGGTATGGACGTGCCGCGCGGCACTATTCAGACCGTCTTTAGCTACAAACCCTTCGATGAGGTGCGCCGACTTGGTGTAGACAGCGCTACAGAAGCGCTCGTGCGCTCTTCTTTTCCGCTAGAAATAGGGATGCTGACAGTAGCAGAAACGATTCCGGATGGTCCATCCAGCAACATGCTGCAACCAGGTGATGTGTTGGTGCGAGTCAACGGCGAGTTGATCACTCGATTCGTACCGCTCGAAGCGATTCTCGACGATAATGTGGGCAATGAGGTAGGTGTTTGTCAATATCGACAGCATCACTTGGTGTTTATGTCTCATGAGTATGTCTGGGTTCGTTATAGGTTGAGCTTGAAGTAGAGCGTTCCGGAAAGCCGGTGACTTACAAGGTACGGGTACAAGACTTACACTCGGTCACCCCGTCACGCTTTGTGGAAATCGGTGGGGCAGTCATAAACCCGCTGTCATACCAGCAAGCGCGGAACCATGCGATGAGTCCTGGGGCACCGTACGTCGCGGACCCAGGTTACTTTCTTCAGCGTTCGCGCATCGAACGCGGTGCAATCATTCACTCGGTAAATGGTGTCAAGACGCCTGACCTTGAGACGCTCAAGAACTACCTGAAGCAATGCAAGGACCGTGATCGCGTCGTGGTAAAATTCTCCAAGCTGACGGATAAGTCGGAGAAGGTGGAGGTTGTGCATGTAGATCGCAGGTGGTTCCCGTTCTGCGAGTGTGTGCGCGATGACAAGCTTGGAACGTGGCATTGTGAACGGTTTTCGCCGCCAATCGACAAAAGCGATGATGACAATGACAGGAATTCAGCCGACAAGAAGCCAATTGGCTCAACGACAACCTTGCCTGGCAAGAACCCCGTGGAAAATAAGCTTGCACGATCTTTGGTGACTGTAGACTTTGACAGACCGTTTAGCGTGAACAGTTTGTCAACGTCGAATTACCGTGGCACAGGACTTGTGATCGATGCGAAGAAGGGTCTTGTGGTTGTAGACCGCAACACTGTGACTGACTCAATGGGCGATGCTATGGTGACCTTCGCCAGCACCATCATGGTTCCCGCTCAAGTGGTGTTTGTCCACCCAGTGCATAATTTCGCGATTGTACAGTACGACCCGAAGCTTATCGGATCGACACCGATCGAGAGCTGTCAAGTGGCGTCCGAACCACTTGCACCATCCGATTCGGTGTGGCTGGTAGGTCTCATGAGCAGCGTGGGGCGCAGCGGTCACTCTGACCTTGTGTCTCGCGAGACAATCGTGTCTGGTGTTAAGTGGATCGGATTACCGATGCCGAACCCGCCGCGGTATCAGGAGCATAATCTGGAAATGGTATCGCTGCAGGACGTCGTTGGCACTGAAGGTGGCGTTATTTGCAGTGATGTGGGTGAGGTAAGCGCGTTTTGGGCATCTTTTTCCTTCCAGCAGCAGCGCCGTAATTCGAAAGTGGAAAGTCAGTTCAACCGTGGTATCCCGATGGACCTGATCATGGAAAGCGCGGCGCCGCTCATGCGAGGAGGGACACCCAAAATCTACGATCTTGGCGTCGACTTTGAGCATTTGAGTTTGGCTAAGGCTCGCGAGCTCGGACTCGGACAAGCTCTGGCTGAGATTCTGGAAAAAGATGCTCCGGACCACCGGACCATTTTGAGCGTAGCCCGGCGATGGGGTGGCACCGAGGCACAGACGGTATTGAAGAACGGGGACATTTTAGTTGCTGTGGACGGCAAAATCGTGACAAGTTTCCGTGAAGTGGAACGTTGTACACAAAAGCCAGAGGTGCGACTTACGGTTGTGCGCGATGGCCGCGAGATGCAACTAGACGTGAAGACTCTGTTTATGGAGCGCACGGAAATCAACCGCATTGTGTTTTGGCAAGGTTTGCTGCTCCAAGCGCCTCCCTTATCTGTCTCGGCGCAGCGCAGCATCTCGCTGGACGACGGCATTTATGTATCTTGTCGATATTCGGGCTCTCCAGCTGCTCGTTACGGCCCACCGCCCACAAGTCGCATCAAGGAAATTGATGGTATAAAAATCACCAGTATCGACGATTTCCTAAGCGTTGTAACGTCGAAGTCGACGAACGACTCGGTACGCATCAAGTATACCGACCTGAGTGGCAAGGACCGTCTCAGCACACTCAAGCTCGAACCCAAGTACTGGCCTACCAGTGAGCTGGTGAACGAGGATGGTGAATGGCGCCGGCGTCAACACTAGAACAGCTTCATTGGTCACGGCCCGCTGCGGCAGCTGTCGAGGAAACAGCAGCAAATGAAATGGAGCGGTGAACGTCGTTCATGGACGTCTTGTGAGCTCACCCACAGCGCTTTGAAAGCAGCTGATCTTGACTAGAAGACTTTATCTGCTACAAACACTTGCAAGAACATGGATGCGACGTTGCTTCGTGTTGACAAAACTCTGACGTGAATGCAATGTATCTCTCCATCGTCATGTTGCTGGCCATAGATGGACACAAGCGTATCGACGGACTCAACCTTCGTTAGCATTGTTCACGGTAGATCCAGTGCAGACGTTGCGGATTGCTTGCTGTCACCCACAGATAGATACACTGTGGCTCAGCATCAACAGGGGACGTGACGCTAATACTTCACTCGAGACTGCCCATGATTGGCCCGTCACTTCAGCATTGCAGGCGAACATAACGCAGCCGAGACTGAAAAAGAAGCACGTGAAACACAGTCAGTGTCGGCGTCCCATGGGAGTTACGCACGAAGCCCTGACACTGTCTTCGTAGAACCTCATTACGTCGACCGAGTCGAACGGCACACGATCCAGTACCGTAACTCAGCACAGCATTCATCACCATCGCATGCGCTTCGTCGCGTCCGAGTTGACACACCCCTTCCAGCTCACAAAGACAAGAACAACTGTCTTTCGAGCTGGTTGTGCAAGAGCTGTACAAGTGTCGCATTTGTGTGTTATGGTTGTTTAAAACGAAAAACATCACGACACGACACGACCCTCTGGCGGTTGCCACTCGACGAATCTGCTTTTCGCCACAGCACTGCCATTACCAACCAAAAAGCAGTTTTAAACAAATCAGACACAAAAAAGACATGCCCGAGACCGTATGCTGTCTTGCCCCTGCATAAGTCACGCCGCCCGCCCGTGTCCCGCTTCGGAGGCCGCAATCCCCGGTTTAGTGACGTCGTCTCTCCCCTGCGCAAACAAACCACACATGGACACACCGCCGAGCATCCGTCGGCAGTACGCGAGTCCTCCTCGCGAGACGCCCATCGCGCGACGACAGCGCCTCGCCAACCGTCGAGCAGCCAAGTACCGTCACTCGCGATCACAGGCCTCGAGACGGAATGCGCTGGACCCGTCGATCGAGCACCAGCGCCAGCAAAACAGTCGCAGACAGCGCGACCATCGGTCACTATTGGACGCCGAGACACGCGACCGCCTACGCGCGCAGAACCGCCGCCGTCAGCAGGTCCGGCGACAGAACCTGAGTGACGAAGCCAAAGAAGAGGTGCGGGTGAAGCAGCGCGAGCGGCAGCGGCAGCGTCGACAGACACTGGACGATGATGCGCGCGAGGAGCTCCGAGAGCGCGAGCGCCTACGCATTACACGGCGACGACGGCAGCTGAAAGCCGTGAAGCGGCCACCGGAACAGCATCAGGAACAGATACAAATGGACGAGCAGGAGGACGTACTGTCGGTGGAGTTGCAGCTGCTGCAGCCTTCACCGATCGTACGAGAGCGACTGCCGCACTTGAGACTCACGCCCGAGTTGCCGACTTGGCGTCAACATCAAGAGCAGCAGAGACAGCGAGAGAGACACAGTCAATTGCCGCTGAGTGGATGTGCGCAGATTGCAGTGACGCCTCCCGCACTGGTGATGGAAAGAGTCGGGACGTTTCCGCTTGAACGGATGCCATCGTTGCCTCACTTGCAACAAGTGACGAGGCCGTCGACAGCGTCTTCGTTGCTGCATGCTACGCTGCCGCTGGCACTGTTCCCGATGACTGGGACGACGACTGGCGGAGCAGCAAGTGCGACGTCGATGGGGTTGCCCACGGTTGCTAGTGCAGTGGCTGCTGTAGCGGCAAGGCCGTCGCAGCCGACGGCGACGATGCCGTCGTCGAGTTTGCCGCTATCAAACCAAGCGCTGACTGCCTTGCCGATGGGTTTACCACAGCAGCCGCAACAACAACCCCGCACACCCATTGGGCTCCCACCAGGACATCGCTCGCTTCCCCCGTTACCTGACTTTCTTAACAGCCGCGAGTCTTTTCATCTCGCCAGTGCTGTTGCAGCCACTTCGGCACAGATCCCACGGTCTTTGAGCAGTGCAAGTCGAGATCTGTTTTCGTCTATTACCGACTTTTCCGTAGTGCACACCGATGTGCTGGACGCCGAGTCTTTTTTTCAATCATGAGCAAGCTATGGAAACGGAAGAAGATACGAGATACGAGTGTTCCACGCACCCGAACAGTTTCGCGTCACACGTTGATGCAATCGTGGTGCTCGCGTTGTGACGTTTTCGGGCTAAGCACGTGTACAGCTTTGTGCGCACAAGCATCGAATACTATCACGAGCATTATCGCGAGTTGTGACATTCATGGGCTTAGTACTTGACAGCACAGTTTTGGCGTGCTTTACACATGAGGTTGACAAGCACAATGGTGACATCGATACAGAGAAAAGCATGGGAATGTGGTCAAGAAGACACGAGCGAAGGGTACTTGGTGCGTGTTGACGAACAGCGTCAAAATGTTGAGATTGACATGTGCATTGTCATACAGTCTGCCCAAAGCACGCAGACATAGACTCGCGTTAGGGAATTTGCTTCGTATAGCTCACGCTCTCTTGCCGCTATCATCCGATTGATGACCGCCTAAGTGAAGTCAATGACTGATCTCGCTGGCTGTCCATTCGAGTGTTGATATGGAAGTGCACTGTTCGTGCGCATTGATGACATTCGTATATGTGATATGTGCTACACGCTTCGTCAATCTGCAATGAGCGTTTACTTGCAAACACCGCGCACTATGTACCGCTGCACAATCTCTTGTCGACTCAGGACAGCGATTTCTGCTATGCTGACGAAGATCGACGTAAACGCCAAAGGCCATGAGTTTACTTCCGTCGTGCTGGATACTGTGATACTGTCATCTCGAGCGTGATGTAGCCGCAATCGTCGTCGTTGGCTTTGAAACGGATGGAGATGAGACAATGACGCTGCACAATATGGTACATGACTGTAGCGACGGGCACAAAAATGTGCCGAAGTCACTGAGCGAAGACGCAAGAACGAGGCGGAAGTGGGTTTCTGCTGTCGTCGAAGATGACCCCAAAGAGTTATCCCGGTGACCGCATCTCTCAGCTCTTAGTCCATAGAGCTCTTGATTGAATCGCGTGACTTCTTGCTCCCAGTGAAGAGGCGCCTACAGGTAAATGATGGCTCAGCAATGATCAGTAAAACTCGCGTGAGGAAGGTGTTACGTAGCGCGCTCGCGGACTCGACCGCTGTGTCAAGGAAATTGCGCTGGTCAAAAGCGCAATCGTCTTGACCGAGCAGCTGCTATGCGCTGAAGGCTGTCAGGAATAACTTGCTGACTCTCGTTGCCTTGCACTCCAATGGCAACAACTTGTGCAAGCTCTCGGTCTTTCGGACCACACAATACTTCACCCGCCCGCAGGTCGTTCGCAAACTGCCTGCACTTGTCTCGAGTTTTGTCGTGACAGAGCTGCTCCATGAGCGTTGGCTACGTGAATCCTGACGAAGTAGGTAACGTTTGATCTTAGCCTTTCGACTGGCGCAACGCGGTCATGAAGCAAGTGAGACTCGTATTATCGACAGCGAACCTCTGATCGAAGACGCTGTTATTCTGGTAGCCCGTCATTGCACAAACTCGCGCACTCTTGTAGCTGTTGGTTAGCGCAATGGCAATGATGCGCCGAACGTATGATTGAAGAAGGCAAGTCGATCATGATCTTGTCCCACGACTACGCGTGGGCACTCTCTCCTGTGATCACCACTTATACCTGACAAGAGCGTGATCGATTTCTTTGCTGCACTGTTGTATCTGACCTGGCGTCACGACGGACAATTCGCCGAGGCGTTTCATACGCGATGTACATCCAACAGACTCGTTGACATACACGCAACGAAATACGAGTGATACAACTGCATTGCCCGATCGAAGACACTACTCGATACATTTTGGTATCCTCTACATCAGCAGCTACAGTGGTGACTCGGGAAGGCAGAGTTTGGGCTCATCGCATCTATAGCACGACGAAAGCGGCTATGAACCTAAACGCTGCCTTCCCAAGCGCCATGTCCAAACACAATGTCAGGACCAATGGATATGCTGAAGCTGAAAGGCCCCCCAAAAGACAGAATCCGTACAGGAAGTATTCGAACTGTGTGCAACAGCGACTTGTTGATAGGATTTTCCTCCCGTTTATGGCACTTGTGACGAGCATAACCCCATGTTTCGTCTGCCACACGTGACTCGTACCAACGCGTCCGTCGAGGCGTCTCCCCGTTGTTGGCGCTATTGTCTGCATGTTGCCTACTATGGCACTGACTTTGTGGGGTGGCAACGACAGCAACAAGAGGTGAAAAGCAGCTCAGGTCTTGACAGTGTCCAGGAAGTCGTAGAGGCGGCAGTGACTGAGACTCTAGGGGCTTCGCAGCGCGTGAACGTCACGGGGGTCAGTCGGACGGACGCAGGGACTCACGCACTATACGTAGGGGCGATGGAGAGATGGAAAAGGACTATACCGGAGTTGCTAGAGCGGCAACGGACTAAAGGGGATGTGTGAAATGTACATGCGCAGCAAATGGGGTTCATCCGCCTGGCCTCAGAGCTGCCGATGTCGTTGCAACAACTAAAAGACGGGGTGAATGCCAGGTGACGACGACTGTTCATCAGTATTGCAGATGAGCTGGGGAACGAAAGCTGGGAGGCTAATGGGTTGGTGGTGTTCCCGTTCACATGTGACAGGTTAGGAGATGGTCGAGTGGTGGTGTTGGGTGTGACGATCCCCACGACGGGACCGGCGCGGATTCGGTCACGCTACAAGAAGTACATTTACTACTTGCAACAAGGTGATCGACCGGATCTGGAGCTGGGCAAGTACTCTTGGTTCCTTGGTAGAAGACTGGACGTTCAGCGGATACGTGACGCGCTCGAGTGCGTGGAAGAGAGAGAGAGAGCATGGGTGGCAACGTGTGAGTAAGATGGATGCTGACTGCTGCTGGTCCAGGTTCTTGGCGGGCACGCACGATTTCCGGCCATTCTCACAGGGACTTCAGAGGCCCAAGTTCAAGGAGATGACGACTTTGCGCACGATTGTTTCGATCAATGTCGTTGTCCGGCGGTACGCAGGCCTGTTCTTCTTGTGAGACGTCGCAGCAAACCGCTGATGCCGACATGCGTGTCATGAATGTTGTTAGGAACGTGCACTTTTCGCTCGATCCCGCGGTGTGTGGGAGTGGTGAGATCATCGACGCGGCAGACATGTACCGAGCTATTCAATCAAGCAAAGGCCTCACCGCCGAAACGCCCAATATGGGCGGAAGCAAAACGGCTGCAGTCGACGAGCTCGAGAAGCTGAAGGTCGAGCAAGCTAGAAGACGCGTGCCCGTACACTTTGTCTGCATTGAGCTGGTTGCCAATGGCTTCTTACGACACATGGTACGACGCATCATTGGCACGTTGCGGCCAATTGGTGAGGGTACCCAGCCACCTTGTCGCATGCAGCAAGTGCTGACAGGTGAAGTCCCGCCCGGTCCATCTGCGCCGGCGAAAGCTCTCTGGCTACATCGCACGTGGCTCACGCAAGAGCAATACGACTCAGATCGCGCAGCTGAAGAGTAGACTCGTTCCGAAGCCAAAAGCAAAATGGCGACGACGACCGTCGAGTCCGTCTCTTGAACAACAAGCACGACTCATTCTATAGCTCTTCACGAGTGTCAGCATCGTTCGCAGCGTCTCCCCGTGCCGCTACGTGCTTCAATATGCGCGATATGTGTCTAAGGACGATCTCACCAACAACCGTCGGGGAGTACTTGCCCACCATGTCTTGTCGAGCTCTCTTGCCTTTCGCAACTGCTTCCTACAGCGAAGATGTCAGTACAAGTGTCAGCAGACCAACTCAAACATTGCTTCCAGTACTTACTCCGGGATGTTCCTTGATCCGAAGCAAAAGCTCCTGTAGATGCTTCACAGAGGGGTTGGCCCACTTGTGTCCACGGAACGCGCCTTCCGTGATCTACATGATCACCAGAACGCATGTCAATAGCAAAACCGAAGCCAGCAACGCATGGTCGGCCTACTCACCTCGACGAGTCCGTCAATATCCAGTGGGTACGAATTTGCCTGCGTCATGTATTCGGTAGTGCCACTCCAAAACGTTGCAATCACAGGAAGCCCCATCGCCATGGCCTCGACATGAGGTCGACCCCATCCCTCACCACGCGACGGAAGCACAAATGCATTTGCAGCCTTGTACAGAGACGGCAAGACTTGTTGTGGAATATGAGGTGGCAGCACGTGAACGTTCGGCAACTCATCTACCGGCTTGTCGATTGTCTCTGATGTGAACGTATCAATGATCTTCACAAAGTCTTCGGCTGACGATGAGGTTGAGTGATATCTGTTCGTAAGCAGCACCAAAACGACATCATCGCTCGCCGAGAACGCCTGGAAATACGCCGTAAGCAAAATCTTCCACGCCTTTCGTTCCTCCCACTTGAAAACTGACAGATACACCGTCGTCTTGTCCGTGATGTTCGTCGCCAGTTTGCCCGCTAGATCATACGCTTTCTCAACCTTCTCGGGGTCAAAGAAGTCAATATCCACAACTTCCGGCACCACTTTGATCGCGTCCGGTCTCACTCCTCCATCAACAAACACCTGTTCCTGGAATCTAGTCGGCACCCAGATCTCGTCCATCTTGTTCATCCTGTCGGACCATCCACTGGGCACGCGATCCGTCTCGAACATGGTCCGTCCGACCTTGTAAAGGGTCCCTTCGGGCGGACACCGAGATGTCGTGTAGTGAGCCGGGTCCCACGCCCCTGGCTCCGAGTGGCAAATGACCAGCGCAATGTCGCGGTGGTGCAGGCGCCAGTAAAAGTCCCTTTCTTCAATCCAATGCTGCTCTAGCCTTGTCTGCATGTCCAGAGGCAGGTCCCGAATGAACGCTGGGTTCAAAGAGTCTCCGTGCTGCGTAATTAGCAGCTCAAAAGGCTGCTCCACACTTCTCGCCGTCCCCTGATCGTATCCATCTTCCCGTTCCTTGAACTTTCCAGCAGAAACTTGGCCAGAATCACAAGAAATAGCAGCAGACTCCAATGCAGCGTCCACCGCTACAACGTACGAATGCGCTTCACTGCAGTAACCACCACCACTGAGAAAAGGAGCGTACCACAATACAGCAGGGGGGTCAACGTCCTCGTTCACGGACGTGTCTTGTCCTGACGCTCCTGTAAACTGCACTAGTAGCGCACAGAGAACAAGGAAGAGGTACGTCATCGTTCGCCAGGAGAAACCAATTGTGACAATACTGGGCCAATTTCCAGTTGGCGCCAACCAATGTCTTATTTACATCTCAAGATGCCTGGGACTGTGAAATGAGACCGTTAGCTGTCGCTATACACTCGAGCCTGGGCATCGTCTAGTAGCTTCTCTTCTCCTTCTCGGTCTCGTGTTTGCTAGCTCGCGTATTGCTTGGTCCACTCCGTTGCTGTCTTGTCAAACTCCACTTTGTTCTCGTGCATTTGCTTGGCAATCTCCGGCTCGAGCGGATTGTCCATGTCCGGCTGCTCCAAGATCTGCTTGATTACAGTCAGACAATGAAGCACGTTGAGCGTTGGCGTCCAGTTCTGCAGCACAATGATCCAGTCAATCTCGGCAACTTCTCTCTCGATCGCTCTTTCTCTCTCTCTCCTCCTCTACGAGAGCTTTGTCCTTACCTCACTGATAACATCAGCACAGATTTCGCCCGACTGCGACTTGATGTTTGGATGGTACACTCGCGTGACAAAGCGAACGCGAGGGGCCTTGAATGGATATTCGCCCGGGAACTGCAAGTCCAAGTGGAAGACGCCCCCTGCGTACGGCGAGTTCTCCTGCACACACAATGCACGTATCATCAGCATCGAGTAGTCAACCTGTCATTCACGATGCAGCTTCGACTCCGCACAGCTCTCCCTCCTTCCCCTGCAATTGAAGCTCTAACTCCATTCGACTTACAGGGCCAGTGAGCACGGCGTGCCAGTGCATGAGGTTGTCGTCCACTGTGCTGACCGTGCACCAATCCGGTGGATTCTGCGTGAGCTCGGTGAGTTCCTATAGCATTCATTCACGCAGTGAGTTACGACTGACGTAGATGGCCTAGTAGTGCCATGGAATCGGGTAACACGTACTTTGGTGAGACGGCGGGCCATACTGCACTCACTGCGAGCGACGCGGTGCCTTTTGTCACGAGGTGATGCGTACTGCGACTGCTGGCGAGCAAATCCAAGTGCCGAGCAAAAGGGGGTTTGCCCATCGGATCCTGAATTCCCAGGACCTGAGTCTGAGTCAGGACCGAACAAGGCGTGACGCCTCACAACTTGCCGCAACTGGAAGAGGTCAGTGCAATGGCCAACGCGTTTGCTACCGGCTTTGCAGCATCCTGTTGCGTGAACACATTGAGAGACCATGAGGTTGACGTCAAGGGGTGTCGAGCGGAAGGATTGAGGATGAGGAAAGCTGGACCGATGCAGTGAGTGCGTTGAGCACCTTGAAGAGCTACTTGATAAGGTGTGATAACAACCACTGGTCGCCATCAACTGCGCGCACAAGACACCGTATCAAGACAAGAGGCCCTGAAGTACGTCGATTGAGACGCCAACCGATGTATCGACTGCCTTTTCAGCGAACGAATGAACACGTGCTCGCCATTGAATGATGCGATCGAAAGCCATACCATAACTAGGCGTGTTTTGCGTGCTATAGGACGGCCCATCTCTCTTGTTGATTCCACGATCGGCTTTCAGTCAAAGTCTGTACCCTATGGAAGTCAAACTGGCAGCCTCCCGCTCCGTCCGTGCGAAGTCAAACTCTTGCATTCTCGGATCGAGCCGATGTTGCATAGGCAAGACGTGCAGTTGTGATACGGGTTATCACGTACGAGATCAGCAACTTGGCGATCCTTTCGTGCGAGGAAGACGAAAACGAGAGCGTGTGGCAGTTGTACGAGATGATCCTTTCTTGCTGAAAGACGCTAGTATTCGTGGGACTTGCTTATCGAGCTACAGAGGAACTGCAGTGAAAGAAAGCAGAATGAAGATGTAGTCGAGGATTTCTTGACCACGTATGAATACTGCAAGCACCCCTCACGAGAGATGACCGCCAGGTTCTCAGAAGGATGCTATGGACCTGAAAGTGGCTGAAATCCACTTTCAAGAGTACACGAGAGCTTGTCCGTAGCCCACTCGTTGCTCACGAAATCGACTGGACGTCGACACGACGACTGTACAAACGGTTGAGGCTGAGCGGAGAGAGAAACAAATGGAAATAGCAGAACGTCTGAGACGAATGCCACCACAAAACTCTGCCGTATCAGCAGTTGGCTTATCGATCGAAGCACGTGCAGTCAGAAGCTCCCACGATCCGCATCTGGAGTACAAGTAGTGCGATACCATTTATGAGGGTTGTGGTGGACGCAAACTGCGCACGGTGACTGATATTACTGCAGAGCCCCTGGCATGATATGAAAGCGTTAGACAAGCGCGTGAATCGAAGCTGTGCCGGCATCCGCTCTTTCTACAATTCCGATCGTCATCAATGGGTCATTGGATGAACAACCTGCTGGGCGATCAAGTCGATCAGCATGTGTGCGCCAGCTGTTATGCCATACAATGCCCATTGACTCATGAATACGAGCGGATGTAGCGGTGCTTAAAAGCCACGTACGCAACATCCGTGAGGGGTCCAGCTCGGGTATCTGAAGTACTGACACAAGCCTCTGTGTACGTTGAACTAACCCCGTGACTGCCACAGACACGTGCGGAATCATGCGTCGTCAAAATGCTCTGGTCACCTTGAGCTGATCTGTCTTGTTTGCACATATCGACGATACTGGCGGGGACATCTATACGCGGTAGATATGTCTGTGCGTAACGCGCATCGACTTTGTGGCTGTTAAGACATCGATCATCTACCGATCGAACACCATGCCGATGTGATGGCAGTGTCTACAGCTACCTATATTGTCTGACGTCTTCTGCCAATCCTATATGTTGGAAGGAAGCTCGAGAGACATTGCTGCACTGCTAGCCTGACAATCTATAATGTGCGTAGAGCTTACAATTCGACAAACAAGGCTTCGAAGTGAAAGCGAAATCCCAACACGAGTTTGATTGCGTGTGCTGTCCTTATCACTCCATCTATATTCCAAGCACGGGTTCGATTGCACGTGTCGTCACGATGATCCACATCTTTGTTCAGCCTATTAACTTTCTTCGAGGTTCATCATTGACGTTAGATGTTGGTTTGTGGTGGCGCCACTGGTGCACCGCGACGCTCGTGCATGCAAGTGTCACGCATGCAATTCCGGAGATGCACACACGTCGCAATTGCAAACACGTCAAGTCACCAAGTGTAGAAGTGGTGGGAAGCGAGTAGTTTGTGATAGTCAGGCACGTCGCTCTGCGCGCGCGCCTTAGTAAGAAGAAACCACCACAATGTGGCAGCACTCGATGAAAGGACGTGTCTGAGTGTGCTGCGAGCAGCCTGTCCTACGCACGAAACGCGCGTGAAGATGCACTTGGTGAAAGGAAACAAGAGAGGATTTGAAGAGGCATAGGTATGGAGATCTCGCTAATCGATGAGGGCACTGATGAGCTGAGGATATGACAACGATGAGCTATGACTGCTATCGAACTTGTGATCGCTCGAACGTCTCATCTTACTATAAAGAGATCAACAAAAACAATCTTCTCGATCTACACGCAAGTGTAGAAAACAGTCACTCGTCCGTGAAGCAAGTGCTCTGGTTCTACACTTACAAGCTGATCGGAGATGCTCCCTGTTAGATATATCACATCATTCGTCGTAGGTCGCTTGACCGAGAACTTCAAGTCGTCGCTCGATGTATTCGACGTGAGTCCACAATGCATGGTAACAGTAAGGCCGCTTTGATTAAAGTACGTACAACATCGAGCAAACTCGCGCGATCTTCCTTCGAACTTGATCCTGTCACAACGTTACAAAGTCGTCTCTCCTTTATCTTCTTGCACTCGTAGCACAGGCAAAGCTCTGGTTCGTCTGCCCTGCACGCTAAGGTGGGGGACGTCATGATGCGACAACCATTCGCACTGAACTTCAAGGTAGAGGAACAATCGGTCATGCAACAGATCTTGCATTCTCAACAAGTTCGACATAAGACTGACATGACTACCATTGGTTCCGATGAGTCTGAATGCTCGGCTATGAGCGCTTCTCAGTCCATTCAGCAATTGGCTCTGCACCTGTCAGATATTGTTGACGATGCCAACAATGCGTGCTACGTACGTCTTGCTTGTCCTCGTGACGACGCATGCTCGATGGGTTTTTGATGGCATTATTGCCGCAGAGGAAAGCGTCGAAGTGAAGAATCAACCCAACGCATTTGCAAGCACTCTCGTCGGCAATGGCATCGTTTCCAGCCACCGTGACCTCAAGGGCAGTGAAACAATGATCGATGCATACGATGGCACCAAGGAAGAGCGAGGACTGGTCGACAGAATCAGGAACATTTTCAAGAGCAGCCCAGTGTTTGGTAAGCAAGCCGAGAGGTTGCGGAAGGAACCCCGTGTCGCTGAGTCACAACAAAACAACTCAGTTTCTGACAAACTGATCAAGAACGTCCGAGCGTATTTCGGAAGGCTGAAAGCCACCTCTTCTCCAGTCGAGAGGTTTCTTATATACGCGACGATCGTGTTCTCTCTTGCCGGGGCGTGGGTCATCCTTTCCATGTAGTACCATTTGGCTGAGCCACACTGCGTCTATTATCGACGTGATCGTGGCGTGCCGTCGTCGTTTAGTAAGCTAGAGAGAGGGACTTGTGCGCATACAACACGTGGCCAGTGCTAGAGGTCTGTCGCCTCGGCTTTCATTACAACAAGGTTTGCATGAGTTTGGTCATTTTTTTTGTCCACAAACGTTGTCCTTGTTCGGGTATATTCTCGTTTGTCGCCGCCACCTACTCAAGCAATATTTGTTCTGATGTTGATGCTGAGCCGAAGAATTGAGAGCATTTGTTATTTGACAATCCTCCTTCGTATCGTAACGACAAAGGCTGTCGCTAAGCCGCACACAATTGCTAGGCAATTGGACACGTGTAACCACCGTCACCGCTTGGCAACGCCCATGGACAAGGATGTATAATTTCCAGTGTCATGTTCTGTCAACGGTACAGCCCACATTCTCCAACGCACGAGTTCGATTTCGTTGAAGTAAGCCACGGTGGCGAAACAAAAGCATGCAATGTGCAGCATGTACGGGCAGTCGAGTCATAAGGGTTTAAAGCATCATACCCGAGTTCTAACGCGCCATTGCCTTGCAGTCTTGCGAGTCAATAAGAGAACAAAAGATCGTAACATAGGATTAGATAAATTTATCTATGTCGACGACAATACTGTCACGAGCCGTTGTTTCGATTATATAGCGGTTTGCTTAGCATATCCAAGAAAAGTGCGTATATCTAACAAACTCATCCCGCAAGGGATGCGGCCATTTCGGTGGGAAGTAGTTGACATTACATTGAGCCCTTTCTGCTACACCTTTCTTGATTAACTTCAAATGGTGGATCTAGCATTATGTACTCTGACTCGCGAATACGTTCGGGATGGCAGGCCACCCATCGAAGGGCAACACAGCCTACATCTGTGCTTCAATTGAACCGTTCCACAGTAGTTATTAGTGCTACAGAATGGGATGGCAGATATCATTATCATCATTCATCCGTTTATTCGATACTGTCGGCAATAGAATACAGGGGAGTTTTCACAACCGACGGCTATAGACCAAAGCAGCAGGTGGATGCGCATCTGCTGCAACTGAGCAGTCTACAACTCTAACCGTTGCAGATACACGAGGTGATGCACATGTGCAGATGATGGAACTATGCTTCAGTGGAGATTAACGAGATAATAATGTCCCCGAGTTCACGATAATGGCTAGTCGGATGTGGCATCCGAATCGGAAGCACCTGCGAAATCTCATGGTGATATGAACGATGCGGGAACGGCAGCTCAAGAAACACATCACGGTGACAAGAACCGAGGTACTAGAATCCTTGACCTGTTCGACTTTCCTGACGAATCATACAGATGGTAAGTCTAGTTGATCTCACACACACACTCGCGACGGGGGTGATCGACATGAGGGCATAAGTCCCCGTACAGACGGCGGTAACTCTATTATGAGTTACTAAAGTGGGAGCAATTCTGAACATCGTGGTGTCAGTACTTCCATTAGCACCACCCAGGAGGGTAGAAATCGGTAAATTTTGCTCCTGAAAATCAGGTATGGCTTCCACCATGAGTATATATCGTTGAAAAATACGGCCACCCATCATAATCGATTTCTATTGTGTGATGTGTCAAGCCCTCACGCCCTTGACATACGTGCGTGCGAATTTCGCGAGCAACACCACTTCTACATCGATGCCTTCTTTCGACATCGATGATAAAACGGTAACAGTGTCCGTGACGGTCACTCGTTGGCAAAGCCTACGTTGTATTTTTCCACAATGTAGAGTGCATTGGCCTCAGATTTTGACTTGACATAAATTAGTGTCGCTCGTATCAGTTTTGCGAAAATTAAACTTCAACAATGCTTGATACAAGTTTCATCGATTGTCTCGTAAATTATGCTTGCCTTGTCTCTCATGGAATCGACCCGTGTCCTATTTTTGTCGACAACTTTAAACGCGCCCCAAGGAGACGTTTCCCACTAAATAGTCTTACTGTAGAGCGCGCATCTTTCTGATGCGTACGTAGGGATTACGGCTTTGCAAGCTCTTCAAGAGCGCCATGAGCGTTCGTTGCCAACTCATATAATGGAACTCGACGTACTGCCGAACGGGGTCAAGAGCGTCAAGCAACAGTTGTGAGTAAGGACCAATTATCTACCGAAGGTGGATACTTGCGCCACTTGACATGATAACTCGTCTGGCATCACTTCACGTCGCGGTGAGTTAAATTACACTCCACTAGAAAGCCTTTACTGTCGCGCGAATCCACAAACGGATTCGGCGGTTGAAAGGAAGACCTGACTCGTTTCAATGGTGAAATTAGCTCAATTGGATGGATCCGAATTGCTTTACTCTTGTAGTAGAGGACAGTTTCGTACATGAGGGGTACAGGCGACTGACCTTAACCGGGAATGAGAAGATACACCGATTCGGTCGCAAAAATGATCGGTTCGCTTATGCAATATTGTAGTCAAAATTTGTGGGTTGATACATTCTCTTGATAACAAGATAGTGGAGACTCAAGATACCTCCCACTTACCTGGAAAATCTCATCTGCTCACGACCAGGCTTGGCGCCTGGTCCTGATTGCAAGATACTGTTGAAGATTCGTAAGTAATTTACCACCGCAGGAAGAGTAATGCAGATCGACCGTTGCTGTCACCAGAACATCACGTGATCATGGTTACGCAAGGTAAATAGCAATCACATATATAATGTTGTAGTGAGACGATGATGATGCTAGGTCAATAAGAAAACGCAGTATCATGATAGAGAAAACAATGTTTGTCGATGGTAGTACTGAGAGCTTCAATATATTCTTCATTTCACAATTGTCATCAACGTACGCTATAACTAGCGCAGCCAGCAGCGAGCAGTCGACTGGTGAGTTGAAATACTTTGTCACGAGCAAATTAAGGGGGCAGACGCGTCGTCAACTAAGTACAAGACAGTGCTACTACTGACAGTACCAAATGAGACGCCCCTCTTTCAGCATAGGATTGGTGCGCATTCTACGAGGTAGCCAAATTGTGCATACGTTTTTCAGGCGGAAAAATACACGAATGAGTTTGATGCAGAAGGGCATTACTTTACTGCGGCCAACATTGGTCACACTGTTTCTAGGTATATTTTCTGTAGATAAAAGAACTAGGTTTCATTCAGTATATGAAGATCGCGTGCTTTTCCATGATACCAGATATTCCATTTTTTTCATTTATTTCCTTCTTCTACAACGGGGTACACGTTGGTAGATAACCGGTATAAAATGTGTCGCTCACACCTGAGATGAGATCTCATTGAAAGCGATATTCATACACCTCATCAATTTGTCGGGGCTGACGTGTGTCAGCCATCAGATACAAGATACTAAGAAGTATACGAATTTAGGACATTAGTGTCTATATAGGTGTGTTTCAGCTAAGGTATCATTCAACATAGAAACGAAAAAAGGTCAGTTTCCCGTTGATCTGTTAAAGAAACGTGCCATCTTAAAGCGTCTCAGGTCATTAAGAAGAGTCGATCCTTGTCACGGCGTAGACTTTGAGCACTTTGCACTGTTGATTCGTTGCATCGTTAAATAAGTACCTTAAGCTTTGAGCTTGTGAACGCGTAAAATCGAGTTCTTGAGAAGAACTGAATTGCTCGCCGAACATAAAGCCTTCTTCTGGCTAGTAGCTGTAACAGCTCCGCTTCAATTTGCACGCTCGAAATTGATACAAAATAGACCACCTCTTTAAGGAGAATCGCGCTAACATAATTGTCTATATTAAGGAGGGCTTCATTGGACTCGCTGGTGTGATCGCTGGCGATGCCGAATATAGAAGCATCTTCATTGGGGTTGGCGTCTGTAATAGATAAAATGTAAATACCTAGTTCGTCTTCTTCATGCCTACTTTACAGGCATATGCAGTTCTCGCGTCGCCCGGTAGCGTCAAGGGTGATGAGCATTAGCATATTTTTTTTGCTCGAACGATTTTTCTCTTCATTGAACAAAGTCTTATTCGAACAAGGTGTGGATGCGAGAATGACGCAAAACATTTACGAAAGAGCGTCGTACGTGTAGATCATGCAACCACCGAGTCGCTCTGGCGTATACCGCTATCGGCTATAACTCACTATAAATCTTAAATAAGTGGACGCATCATTGGAGTATCTCTGTAAAAATAAATTCGGCACGTTCAGTCGAGCCATCCGTTTCCAGATGGTCAGAGTTCGGCATGATCTCTATGTTCCACTAGATAGGTATATGGATTATAGGAAGTCCGCTGTATCATGTGATCAGTTAGAGAAAGTTTACGGGTTAGTCCATAGAGCCATCAATTGTGTCGACAAATGCTCGAGCACAGCATTCGGCAGTGGTTGACTTTGGAACAGAAACGTGATACCGTTTGGATCGACATGATCAACAAACAAAATTTTACTAGTATTCTTGCCTTCGTCTCGAATAAAGACAAAATGATGCCCATCGAAACGGACTCTCAACACTGTACTGGAACTGGTAGAGACTGCATCGGTGCACATGATGAAATACTTAGCTTCAACTAATTACAAACCTAGCAAGAACGGATGTACTTGCGCACGACCAGATACTAGCGTGGACAAAAAGGCTCGATGAAACGTGCGGTAATTATATTTTTAGACACGATGTCTACTTATAAGTCCAGATTGACACTCATGCATGGATCGCAGTTGACGATCGTAATGGATGAGGACAACAACACATGGTGCGACAACGGCTACTGATATGTCTTCAGTAAGGCATCACGGGCTGTGTATCAGAATGTGGAATATCGATAGATTGCTTATAAAAAATTATGCCCTGCCGGGATGGACTCGGGAGCTACCGCATTGGACGGTCAAAACTCTGCTTTAATGCGTACGACTGAGTCGCGTCATCAATAAATCTAGATGACAGGACGGTGCTTAACATATCCACAACGGTTAACTTATCCCGAAAGTTGGATGAGGGAGTCGGCTTTGAGTAAGGCCGGCGTGAATGCGCATCGGAGACGATGTTTATTCATCCGCTTTACACTCAACGTTGAATTTTTACTCTGCAGAGGGCTATAGATACCTTTACATGAACAAAGAAAGATTGGACCGTCTATGGCCGAACGCAAGGAAGCTTAGCACGTACGCACTATGAACAAGAAATCGACTGTACCTGCGTCCATTGATAAGCTGCTGATAAACTTTCTACTCGCTTTGATATATACTGCTGTTCAAAAATGCAACAAAATCGTCGTCTGCAACGAGTACAAGGATCTGCTTGAATTTTTCACTGCGCAGGTAAAATAAGAAGTGTTTAATCTCAGGCGTTGGCTATTGAGGTAAATACAAAACTAACTTTCGAAGCGCTACCAATTTAAGCGTATAAGAGCCTACACTCGACATGTGAACAACAAAGAGATTGTATGTCTTGGTGATGTCCTGGGAACGGTTTTCCTTAGGATGCTGGCGACTTTTCCTTCCATGTCGATCAATTGATAAAATCTGCTGCTTATGAAGATCAGGTGATATCGATGCAGCTTTATTTTCGCTGAAATAGAGATACCACAGCTGGCTCATCTGCGGTTGACTCTCCAGTCGACCTAAGAATTTCGTGTAACTTCATCGAGGCAGCGGGTGTCATATCTGTTGAATGAAGGTATGTATGCGTGCATGTTCTCGTCCACTCAATTTATAAGAATGGTGGACTTTCGGTCCTGCTCGACCATGCTTCCCGCCTATATCGAATGACTTAGTTAGTCAACTGCACTGTGATCTTGTACTGTCGTACTGTCGCATTAACGACCGAAAAACGACTTAGACAACCGCACTGAACATAGGAACATACATAGGCGCGGGATTGTTCCAGAATGTTCAACATATGAACATTGATGAACAAGCACCAGACATGTAATCACATAAAGATGCTGCGAGTTGATCAATGGCTTGTTCCTTCCGAGTCGCGTAAACAAAGAATTACATTGTGTTTGTCATGGTAATTTGGCACGGAGATCAAATTATCATAACTTGAATTGTACATTATATCGTATTGTGACTACACAACACATTTCGTCACCCTTATGTATGCGTCTCTTGCAAGGCGCACCTTCCATTGATTTGACGGGGCCTCGCGGTCAGTGAATTGAAGCCTGTACGCGACAGGCGCCGGTAACAATATCGACGCCATACAGTTTTCTAGGGTGCGAATTGCCATATTTTACGTCTACTAAATTTGAAGCGTAAAATAAACTCTTTTATTGAAGGCAGACGTACACAGAGACGATGTGCTAGGTTGAACCATCATTGAGAGGCCAGATATTTCTTTTGACGCTGCTGACTTAGAAAGGCACTCCACTCTACTAACGCCAACACCTTTTTGACGATCTGATGCGCTGTCGTCTCATACCGGAACTCGAATCTGCGTTCTTGGCCTTCTTAGTGGATGGTTGATCGCTTCGTACAGTGCTTTCGATCTTTCGCGTGAGATGCTGCACTCATAAATTTAGTGCGTTCACATCTAACAGCAATTGCACCTCGCAATAATATGTTAGTATCAAATTAAAAATGGTACACTGTAAACATTTTTGAGGTGCATAAGCACGAACACTTGGATGTTTCGTCATCCTTCACATGAGACAAAAACTGATTAAACCAGTTCTCGCCTCAAATTGTAATACGCTTGCTTATGTGCAAACAACTATATATCATCTACTCTCGTTCCAGGCCAAATAGTTGAGTCCTGACGTGACTTGCCGCAAGACTCAAAGCAAACACAGTTTTTAGTGTTTTGCGTATCAATTTGCTCATACGCTACATATCTTACGAAGTTTCATGTTTGTTGATAGTGAGCATGCATAACATAGACACCCTCCTTCAATATCATGGCCATCGATCAAGTCTTTTGTTTGGTATATAGCTATTTACATGCTTATCGGATCACATCCTTGGTTTTTGCACAACTTAAACCTACATAAGCCGTAAAGCTTGATCCTTAATGCCCAGTCGTTGGCATATTACATACGCTAGGTATGTCAAATGGCACCATAATCGCGCAGACATTAATGCAGCGAGCTCTAAAACGTCGTAGCGGTCGACGAATATCGTGCTCATGTAAATTGCTTTGAGAATCTCCATAACCAGAAACAGAACTTGTATAGATGTGCTGCGCTGAGTATTTTAGAACGTGGGGCATATATTTTTTTCGTGATTAAATAGGGCATTTTTTATTTTCTTTAATTTTGTTAAACTGCATACTCCTATGTAGGTTCTCGCTCTCCACACCTTGCGGTATCTAGTAGCAATTGTTGGCTCATTTGGTTGATATCACTCTTCAATCGGCAGCGCTGGGAGGAGGAGTATAAACAGGACACCGACTGGCTTTAGCCAGCTCTTATCGTATCACGGCTCTGCAGCCGTTACCGTGCTCACCGCCCGCCGGGGCGGGAGCGGACAAGCTCCCGCCGAGCAGTATGGAGGATGAGTAGGTCTCGGTAGTGCGGCACAGGCTGTTACTCTGGCTGCCGGGGAACGCGGCAACGGTGGCGCTCCGTCTGGGGTCCACGAGGTGGGGGCTCCGGATCAGGCTGGCAATCCTTTATCTGTCGTTCAACCGGAGCCCGAACTTGGACAGGCTTCCGGATTGGCTGGGAATCAGTCCATTTCAACAGGTGGTTTGCGTCCTCGGCGCGGAGGCGTGGGAACGGAGGCGCGGCGGACAGACGGACCGACTTTGAGTCCTTCGGGGTGCGCTCCCCAGGCTCCCTCTCAGCCTTCCCCACCGCCTCCCTCACCTCCCGTCCAGCCGCGGGAGATGTTTGAGGCTCTAACTGCCGAAATGAAGGCTTTTACTGGACAGGCGTCCCTGGATGTCTGGCGCCTGACCGCTCAAGAGTTATTTGCGCTCGAATATTCCGGGATTCTGTTAGCTCGGAAGCGTTGCCGGTTAATCGCAAACGGTATCCTACGCTTATGGGTGCGGAGCTGTTGAATTTGCTGGATATGTTTCGACAATGCTTTGTCGCGACACCAGGCACCTACGCTGACTGTGCACGGTTGGCTCACCAGATAGGCACGGACTTCTACTTACGAAGTGGGCCTTCGAAAAAAATTTGCGCAAATTGGCCAGCAAGCAGAAGTGGGCAGCGGCTCCGATTCCGCGGCAGTGGTCTCAGGTGGTACGAACGGGCAGCTCGAATACCATGGACGATGCAGCAGGCAAGCAGCTTCCCGTCTTTGAAGAATTCAGGTTTGACCCGACGAAATTTTTGGAGGCAGAGACGACCGCCTTTCGATCTATTTGCTCGGCGAGTTGGAACCGGGCTAGTGCTCACCATCTTCGAGAGGGAACGGACGATGAATGACGCATCATCACCGGGATTGCGGAGGGGCATATTGCCTGTCGGAGGATGCCGGATTTTATCAATGCCGTCTTCAATAGTGATGAGCGCCTTCTTTTGTGTCGCACTGTCCAGTCCCAGGTAGAAGGCCAGTTGGTTTTGAGTGTCCGCCATGGTAGGGACGCCTCATTGGCCGTAGGACCACTCGCGCCATCACGGAAAAGATTCTTGAATCGGCTGAGTTAATGCGGGTCAGCTTGCCGGATCTCCACCGCCTACTCGGGCTGGCCAAAACGATCAGCTACAATCTATCCACTCGATCCATTCATTTTTACTTTTTTTCGCGGGATACTGCCAAGGAAAACCAGGATGTCGTTGTCCCTTTTCAAGGCCGGGTGTACACCGTGGAAAACGTTCACCAGCCAGCTCGATGATCCGTTTGGTTGAATCAACGCGGTCCAGACGGGCGGTCAGGGAACTCCAGGGCTGCGTACACCATCCTGCTCTATAATTTGACACGATTTGATGACATTGGGCGCATCTCTGCATACTTGCGCTCCAAGATACCGACTGATTTTGAGCTGGAAAACACGGACACCTGTACCCCCAACTCACGTACGTCCACAGCTTATAAAATTACGTTTCAATTGGCTGGTTGCCCGATTTTCTTACAAGGCATAGTACGACTTCTTTGGTTTGGGACTCCTATTAGTGTACGGCATCCGAACGTGGGCCGCCGGCTCCAATGTCTGCAGTGCGGTACGCTCGGCCATCCTGCGTCGAGGTGTCAGTTCACCGACGCGCAATTAAGAGGGCCGGGCGGACTAGAGGTCGACGAAGCAGAGCTCGTCGCGGTCGAAGACCTCTCGAAACCTTTTAGTAGCCCGAACGAGATGAGTCAGATGGCGCAGCGGCGTCTTCATGTGCAGCAATCGGCAGACGTCGCCGCGCAAGCTGCGGTGACTCCGGAGATGCCGGTCGCTGCTCTCAGTCCCGCTCAGGTAGCTGTGCCTCAGCCTACTGGTCTACCTCTTCAGCCCGTGTATACTACTCAGGGCACGCACGAGGGCCCACCACCTCCAGCCCCAAAACCCAGGCCCGAGCAGCCGTGGCTCACACGCCCTATCCGAGGCGGTCTTCGGTCTAGGTCCGTCACCAAGGCTCCCCCTGCCCAGCACACCGTAAGCAGCGGCGGCTATCACGTCCTCCAAGATCTGGATCTTGCAGAAGAGATTCCAGCTATAACCTCCAAAAGCGGTAGTGCCTCCGCTTCTTTACAGCCGGCAGTTCGGAGGGCTTCGCCTACTGGTATTTCTACCCTGCACTCCCACCCCCAGCTGCAGCCAGAGGAACAGGCCCGGAAACGTGCAACAGGCATCAGAGGACCGGCCTTAGTCACCGCGAGCCCGGCGCTTCTGAACCAGCAGCGTCGGGAGAGGCAAGAATGCGAGCGGCTGGTGCAGCTTTTGCCAGACAGGCAACGCCATCCTGTACCCATGGAACTTAAACCGTCCGTAGAACCTATTCACATGCGCGAAGTTTTGCGCATTGTTGGGCTTCGGGAAGTCAGCACACCTGCGAATGGCAATTGCTTAGCGATTGCTCTTGCCCAAGCGTTTGCTGAGTCTGCTTTGGCCGCTCCCACTATGGACCAAGAGCTTCTTACGGCTGCAATCAAACGGAGTATCAAGTATACAGGGCTTTTTAACTTGGAGGATCAGCTTTTTCACGACCTGCGTGTTCAGGCACTCAAGAATGTGGGCCTTGGGTGGGCGACGATGACGCGCAAATAGTCAGCCTCGCAACTACGCTGGTTCTTGGCGGACTACGCGTCCACCCCTTCGGGTCGGACCTCGCCGGTGCCAGACAACTGTTGGGGGGCAGTGACACCCTTACAATGGCAGCCACATTTTCAACGAGACATATTTGTCGTTGAAAGCGGTGACGGCACTATTAAAGGGAGCTGTAGGAAGTACCACCCCGTTTCCCTTACCATTCGGGGCCGGATGGTGGCTTCTGCCAAAGAATACCCGCTTTCTTTCCTGGCGTGCATCGATGAGCTGCAAGCGACAAAAGTCGCTGAGCCACAGAATCTACCATTAGTGTTGAGGTATGGGGGAAGCCACTACTCGGCTCTGCTCCATACTGATGGAGTTACCGACCCGTTGAACCTTACGGACGATATCGGTTTGCCGAACATTGCGACGCGGCAGGAATTCATGCCATCAATGAGGTCACTACGGCCACATCGCTGGTTCCATGGGAGGGCAAAAGTTGTGCTGGGGAACCCACGAACGTAGAAAATCTACCCGACGGCTGCGTCCGCACGTCGCCCGTCGTGTATGATGCTGGCAGCACATTCCCACCTTCCTTGCTCCAGCCATATTCTCAAATGGCGTTGGACTCTGCTTCACTCAGCTCCAGCGGCCCCAAACGGGCCTCTTCGGCTCGTAAATGAGGGTTTGGTAGCTCTACTCCACTACTGGTGGCGTCTGGGGTCCACGACATCGAAGTGCCAGCCGGATCTCATCACAAAAAGGGGCGTGTTCAGTCCGACATGGGCCATCTTTCGCTCGCCGAGACAGATGCCAGAATTGATCGGGAGGAATGGCCCGAACTTTGGGCATCTTCAAGTGCCGAATGGCCAGATACAGCTGCGACCCCTTATCATCTCGTTTACGGCGACTCGGACGGATGGGAAGCAACTTCCCGTTCGGAACCTGAGCTGTTTTTTCATCATTTACGCCGCTTTGTCTTTCCTGAAGAACTCCTGGATAGCCTGGCTGACACAGTTTTGGTGCAGTGGACGGCTCTGTGGCGCCAAGAGTGCCTTTTTTTCGGGATCCTTACGTTTTGACAAAGGGTTACGGATTCGCCATCGATTGTGTGGCTTGACCAGTGGATCGCTTGGACGCAGCAGCGTATTTCTCCATCTAAGTTGGCCCCCCTGGTTGCCAATTCTGATGATTGTAAGAAGATGCGAGACGCCAACTATGCGGCGGACGACATTTTACGTTTGTGTGATTCGCACAGACGCGTCCGCATGAGTCACCACTTTATTTGTGCCATCGTCTTTGCAGAAGAAATTTACGCGCTGACGGGGACCGGAGAGAAGCCGTTGCGCCCTCCTGAGCAACTCCGTTGCCACCTACGATTGTTGCGGACAAACGGTACCTACAAGGACGCGTATTAACCAGACGGTGGGTCTCGTGTTGGCTGGAGCGAGCTCTTTCGCTATTTTACTACTGCTTTGGCTCCTGTGGAGCAGCAGTTCCTACTTGAGTACTGAGGGCAGCTTACAGAGGAAATCCTTTACGAGCCATGCCGATATTCCCCAATGGGCAGGTGACGCTTATGGTCGGGAACGCATCCTTAGGGAATGGCCAACGTCTGGTGATTTCCCACTTTCTACTACGGATCCAAGGGGAGGGGACAGGATATATATATCCCAAAATGTCCGGGGCTTCAAGGCCAGCGTCCGGGACGGTTGGTAGTCGGCATGGAGAGGGGAGCCTCTGAGTCGTCACCCACTGGCTTGGTGCATTCAAGAAACGCATGTGCACACTGAAGCGGAGGCAAAATTGCTCCGGTGGCGCTGGGCTCGATTGTGGGGGCAAACACCTCGATCCAGACGCACCTCCTCTATCAGTTTGGAGTATTGGCTCTGCCAGTCGAGCTGGGGTGGCCATTCTCCTCACCCCATATTCGGCCCTAGGAGCTTTAGCCTGGCAACCAGAACGATGGTCTCCGTGGGCAATAGCGAATTCTCTGGGGGATGTAGTTATCATGAATGTCTACGCGCCCACAGTGCGGGAGGAGCGAGAAGCTTTCTTTGCTTCTCTGCTCCGTTGTGATTTGGCATCCTTCAATACCATACTGGCGGGAGACTTTAATTGCGTCCAGTGCCCTCTTCTCGATCGGTTCGGCTGTCACCGCTCTCATCGGTTGGAAAGCCCGGCCCTGAACAAGGTGGTTGCGACAATGAGCTTGACTGATGCGAGAGTGATTCGGGAGCACGCAGAGGACGACGGTTTTGAGGATCCAACGGATCATTTTACATACGGGAACGGGGAACACGCTAGTCGCATCGATCGATTCTATGTTCCCACGGGATGGGTTGACCGGGTTCTGTGGGTGGGATCGCGGGTGCTGTCACATAATTCGGATCATCAGGAGGTTGTATTACATTTGCGGGACTCCATCAAGGCTCGCACAGCTAGCAGAAATTATCGGGTGGCGTACCCGATCACTTCATCGAATCCGAGCAGAATCATTGACGAACACGTCACAGAAATGATTGGCATGGTTATAGGGCAGGGGGTTTCAACCCTTTCTTGGGATCTTGCTGTTGAACAGTGCCACCGGTGCATTCGACGCATCAGAAAGAGGGCCAAGCAGCGCAGGGCTAGATTCCGTCGGAAGCTGCAGGGCCGCGCTCGACGACCCTTAATCACTAGGGCACAATTTATCTCTTGCAATATAGAAGAATTACGACAAGAACACCTTGTGCGACTCGGTACCCAGCTCGCACGGACGGCTGACCACTTACGAGGGTTTTATCATCGCGTATCCAATTGGGAACGTAATCAATCCGTCACAACCATTACACGGCTTCACGGAACGGCCTTTACCCGCAATATGACTGTTGCAGACAAATTTGCATCCGAATGGTCTACGCTTCTTGGAGTTATTCATCGCAAGAAGCCTCGCAAGAACTTGCCCTCTGCAATTCGGCGTTTCGTCAATCTTCCTGCGGACCGTATGTTGACGCCTGCAGACAATCTGGCTCTTTTTGCGGATATTACAGAAGCCGAAGTCCTCGCAGCCATTTCTGGTCTCAGTAGATATAAATCTGCTGGACTCGACGGGCTAAATAATGATTTTTACAAGGATACGTCGGCACTTCTTGTCCTAGCCTTGGGTCAGCTCAGCAATCAAATTGTGGCGGGAGCGGATCCCCCGCCCTCTTTTCTCGAAGCTTTGATCATTCCCTTGCGAAAAAAGGTGACTCGGCGGATGCGATGGATTACCGGCCGATTTTTTCTGCTTCAAACCAGTTACTAATTCTTCGCAAAGGTGCTGGCGACGAGGTTGCAATGCGTGTTACCAACAATTATTGGTGACTCTCAGCAAGGCTTCGTACACGGTCGCCAGATGTCCAAACTGGTGATGATGATGCTTGCACAACTGGCTACTGCTACATTCGATGAAACACTCGCGGCCGAAAACAGCCGGGTGATCCTTCTACTATACTTTCGAAAGGCATATGACACGGTGGACCGGGAATTTTTGTATGAGGCTCTTCGCCACTTCGGCTTCGCGGAGAGGTATGTTCAACTTATCACTCGGCTACATACCGGTACTACAGCCTCTTTCTTTGTAAATGGCGAGCAGTCCAGCCCAATTTCAGTTGTTTCCGGCATCCGGCAAGGTTGTCCGCTTTCCCCTCTGCTTTTCCTGGTCGTGGTGGGGCTGTTGGGTATTGCAGTACAACAATAACCGGATCTGTCGGGCTTTCAGTACCTGGGCGACATCCTGCTACGCATACGTTCTCGGCGTTTGTGGACGACTCGACGATATTTCTCGACAAGGCCAGTCAGCTGGGTCCAGCGCTAGCCCTTGTCTCTCACTTTGGGGCCTTATCAGGGCTGGAGGCGCAACCGTCCAAGAGTCAGATCATTTTTCTTAACCGAGCGGTGCACCTATCGGAGATTCGAGGCATATCGGTCCTTCCACCTTCGAACACAGTGCGCTACTTGGGCTATCAGGTCGGGCTGAGGGACTTGCATCATCGCCATTGGGCCGTCTGTGTTCGGAAGCTTCAACGGCGGCTGATAACAGCTTCCAGAGTGGATACGAGTGTGCAGGATCGAGTATTGATTCTTAACTCAATCATCCTCCCGTCTTTCCTATTCACGGCAGCGGTTTTCGATATGCCTGAGTGGGCACGACGCGAAATTCGCAACTTGTACAAACAATTTCTGTGGGCAAATGCAACCTCAACGGACGCCAGCCGCCACAAGATTAACCCGGGCCTACTCTACACCCCTAAACAGGCAGGGGAGGTTGGCTTGTCCTCCTTAGAGGTGGCCGTTAAAACACAGCGTACGAAGCACGCGTTGCAGTGGCTCACGCAGGCTCAAGACAAATATTTTGGCGCCTGGTGCTCGTGAGCTTATCAAGGCCGGCCGTCGACTTCGAGACTGATTCTTCATGGCTGGTCACAGGTCACCGAGGCTTCTTCTTGTTACGCGACTCCGTACAAAGATACCTGGGTCCGCGACTTGGACATGCTCCTGCAGCCTACGGCGGGGCAAATCTCTGTATTGTGTGATCGAGTCCTTACGTCATCTCAAACCATCCCCCCCGGCGCCATCAGTTGGTGGGAGGAGGACGACTAGATTTTGTCGTATCATAACCCTTTTCCGGATGGTGCGGCTTCAACGGATCCCCAACACTGCGCGTTGGGTCGTGTTTAAGGGACTATGGGGTGGAGCAATAACCCGAATTTCGGGATGTCAATGGTCTTCCATTACGGTCCTCAACATACGACCGGGTCGCGGCCTGTAACATTTCGGACCTGCAAATTCGGCGAACAGGGCCTAATGAATTTCTTTTCAGCATTAAGCCGGCTGGACCTAGACGTGTTCACCACTCGAAGCCTAAACTACGCCGATAGGCGACGGCGATCTTTCTGGCATCACCTCTATCCCCATTGGAGGGGAACTAGCGGTTGAGCCTGCGCTGGTGCTTCGCCATCCACCGCCGTTCCGCTACGATTTTACCTGGTCAACGGTGCGACGTGGTCGCGTCGTCGGGACAAGTTCGGGGACTGGGGCCTTAGCTGGCCAGCCAGTTTATCTGACGCAGAGTGCGGATGGAATTCGATGGATCTTAACCTCGCCTCTGCCGGAGTTGGCCACATCGTCAGCTCCCGAAAGCTCCGCCTGGGCCATGCGCCTACGCCGACATGGCGTCGTGTTATACTCCCATCCTCGGCATCACCGCTTCCCTTGGGCCGTCGCTTCGTCGGTTGCGGATGCGAATATCCGACGGACTTTATTTCGGCTGGCGTTTGCCGCTCACAAACGATTACTTGCTGGCGTGTTAGGGCCGCTGGTGCGGCGCCTGGTCGACGTCGTTGCTGTGGATCCGTGGCAGCGTGCTGCCGCACATCAGCGTCCGTCTCAAGTTTGGCAGCATGCTAACAGCCTTTCCGCCTACCTGGTCTGGACCTGTTACCGAATTGCCACCAAGCAACTCAACCTCTACCATTCCGGCCGTCGCGCGGATAATAGTTGCCGGGCTTTATCGTCGTGCCAGGGTCTCAAAGAAACGTCGGCTCACATCTTTTGGGAATGTGCTAAAGCCCACGCGTGTTGGACCAAACTTATCGGACATTGGACTGGTGTCCGGGACGGATGGCCTGCTCTTTCGAACACCTCTCTCGCTGGTATGAATCGTCAAGCTCCGGCCTTACCGGCCAGGCAACGTCTTCGGATACATTATAAGCTCCCGGAGGACTCCGAGACAGGCGTCGCGCTTTGGGACCGTCTTTGGTTTATCATGAGCAGCATCTGTCTGACTCACTTATGGTGTGAGCGGAACGACGCTGTTTTTCGAGGGAAGCAGACGGCGGCTCTTCAGAGCGCTGAGCGTTTTTGAGAGGTCGGCATCAGGCATCTTAACGCGGTAGCGAAACGCGAACATCGCGGTCCCGAGACAGCTGTTGCTGGGGCTATCATGCATACATGTATCGACCTCTTCACTCTCGAACCTCGAGACGGGTCGATATATTCAGGGGAAAGCTACGACCAGCCACCGATTTTCGGTGCTGCTGTCCTGGCTTGGAAGTTTTCAGACATCTTGTGCATAATTGTTTGCTAATAGACGGTCATGAAATCATCATCATCATCTGGTTGGTATCATGACCTTTTTCAACCAATAAGTGAAGCGGCTTTCTTAGTAGCTGTAGTTAATATGCGAATATTATTCGTTTAGGCAGGTAATATCGAGATAGACTTTTTATACAGAAATTATATCCACATCATTAGGTGTATCATTAAAAACATGTAACAAAACGCACCCCGTTTCAGTGATGCTGTGGGTAGTGGGGCTCCGCGTTCCTTACGACATGTGCTGGTCATCTCGACAATAAAAAGGTCACGTAACTCTGATGCGTACTCCTCTCCAACACGAACGCATCCATTCGCTTGCTGTGCCAATGCCTTTCCTTTCTTCCTTCTTTTTCGCTCAAGGGGGCTTGCGTTTTGTTCGGAAATTTACACTTTGCAAGACGCGAAGGTCTCGGCACACAGCTCTTGCGTGATGAGCAACAAGTGCCATCTTGCGTACGTTGTCGATCCCAATCTTGCACATGACATCAACAGTCGACTGTTTACTGCGATCCATCAGCTCACGAGTTTCCTCGATATCCATGCGAAGAATGGTTTCTTGTTAGATCCATTTGAAATATGGTTTCTTGTTCGATCCATGCGAAGAATGGTTTCTTGTTTCTTGGCAGTAGGTGGAAGGTCGCGACGTCGCCGCCGTCTCTAGACAATGCAATCATTGAGTTTCCTCATGGTAGTTTCCTAAACGTATTGACTAAGAGAAGCAGACGCAATGTCCGGTCACCGAAAGTAATCTCTTCTGCTAGTGACATCTGCCGAGAACGAGCACTAGTCCACGAAGCACCGCAAACATGTCCATGATCTCGTGCATCGAGCGCCACGGCCAGCGCATGTGACCGGTTTTGATTCCAAGCTTCGATTGCGCTTCTGCATGGCACTGTCGTTCCCAACTTTCACACCCGGTCCAGCTCCCGCAAATCCTCGCCGCAGAGGCCAACTGTCGTAATGGCCACCTTGGAACCCGCTACACACGTGCTGGCGTTGCCTCCTCGCTCTGCGCTGTTGCATGGGCAACTGGCTGGTGAATCAGTTGTTCAATTGCGTTCGCTGTCGTTGGCTCGTCTTGGCCTCCCCCGGCTTTGCTCAGCAGGGCAGCAATGCCCTACAAGTGCGTAGATGATGGACTCGCACGCGGCGCAGGCGCAAAGGACGCAGTCCCGCCATGTGCTTTGCCCCATCTCTTTGGCAATCCGCGGCGAAGACGTTCTCGTGCATGCCGCTCGCCTCGTAGCGACAAAGTATTGAGACATGTTGTTGGCACACGGAATGCGGAAGTGGATGACGGTCTCGACACCCGCTCTCCTATTTGCAATGTCGTCACCATCGGCCCGTCCTGCTCCAGACGGTGTCTCGGCCGAAAGTGCTCTCCTCTACGCAAGAGCGCTCTGTCGTCGAACTGCCAGTCCACTTCACAACCGAAAAACTCCACCAGAGGCTCAATGCGCGCTATCTTCGTACTGCACCTCCTCGTCGCGGCCCATGTGTGCTACTGTGCGATTGCTGGCGCGGACAAAGATGGACGTGCAAAGGACCAGCAGAGTCGCGACCACGACGTTGTCGTCGCCAAGGACTTGGCCAGGCAACGCGATAATGTCGGACCCCCTTCCAACAAGTGACACGGAAGGCGAGCAAAGGAGCCCGTCTTTCAGCCACCTCGGCCGCTTCTTCAAGTCCAATAAGTTTGTTACAGGAGCCGAGAACACGGGAACGAAGTTGGATGATATCAAGTTGCTACAGAAGTCGACGGTCAAGTCCGACCGTTTCGGGAAGCGCCTGCTAGCCCCGTTTGGACAATTTGATCGCTTGCCATTTGGAATCAAAGTGGCGGCCACGTCGTTGATGTTTATGGTTATCACGTTTGTTGTGCTCTACTTTGTTGCGAAGGCCAAGAATTGGTAAGATGGCAAAGGTCGATCCGACCATTTCGTACCGTATCCATCACTCACGGCATCACACACTCCTCGGGATTGCAACGATCAGTGTACAGATCTCCTATTCAGGGCCGCGATAGCTCGCGATCAGCTGGTCCCATGTTACATTGCGTCGCGAAGGAAGTTGTGCGGGCAAAACGGCGCGAATGATTGCACTTGCTTCCTGCGCATTGTTGTTGCTGTTGTTGTTGTTGTTGTTGTTGTTGTTGCTATAGCTGTTGCTGTTGTTGTTCCTACGGTCGAGTTGGAATTGCTTCTGTACTTGTCAAGCTTTTTCGCATTTGATCGTCCTACTGCAGCGAGCCGTAAGATCGCGGACACGATGAAAGACCGCGTCCATGATGAAAGAGTTCTATCCTTTTGCCGCCCACAACGCACGTCCTGTCCTTGCTTTGGATCTGTCATCGGCAACAAGTTGGATCCTAGGACGATATTGTCGTGATGGGGACAATGGAAGATTGCACCCTCATCTCGTTCGTTTGTGCCTAACTTCCTGCTGTCGTTGTTGCTTCGCTACAACTCGTACAGTGCTTTCACTGGCTCTGTTCACTCTTTTCGTCCATTGTGTAATCGATAAGGTCCGAGGAACTACGACCGACGGAGCTCCGCGACGGCAACAATATCGACACTAGTCCGTTTTTCTTTCCCAGTGGACTACTGGCTCTGTCCGATCGAGTCAAGTGAATGAAAGTCAAGACTGTGTATGAAGCTGCATTGACACGACAACATGCAATCGACATGCAGCACTAGTCATCGTCCAACGACACGCCACCCAATTCTATCTCCAGCGCCAAGTCAAATTACCATTCCTCACGTCAATACCTTGTCTGCAGGTGGTGGTTTGGATCCCTGAGTAACCTTCCTCACCAAGTCTGGCAGCTTCATTGGCGGCTCGTCGCGTTTCCGAAAGCGACGTTGTAATTTGTTGGCCAGACGATCGAGCGCCACGACATTTATCAGCACAAACATCTTGTCGCCGGCATTCACGATCGTATCAGACGATGGACACGTGTATACGTAAGGGCACGGTGCAGCTCCAGGGCCACCTTTTGCTCGAAGTAGCCCGATCGGCAACGTGTGCGCCACGCCCGATGTCATGTGCTCAAAGAGCTTTCCATACCGTAGCTGCTGCCCACGAAGTTTCTCTGGGACATCATAGAGCACAAAGCAGCTCTTTCCATCGAGAATTTTGCGGATAAACGTATTCAGCGACGGATTGAAAAAGCTTTGTATCAACAGATCGTCCGCGACGCAGGAAGGAAACAACGCGCCATTCATGAATCGTTCTTGCAAAAACGTGTCACTATCGTCACCACTGTACCGCTCCTTGATGGTTGCACCGATGGCACTGTCTAATTCGGTGCCAAACGTACTCACTTGATGAGCTGCAGTTCTCAGACCGCCCAAGAAAAATGTCTGCATTGCGAGGAGCACACCCTTCGCCACCGACGTGTTGCGTTGCACCCAACTCTGCTTTTTCGCGATGGCCGCCGAAGGTCTGTTGAGATACGCACTTTCACGCCGTGAAAACGAATGGGGACATTGATAGCTCGATGAACTGGAATGCACATCGTACTCGCCATCGGTATGTTGCGCACAATCGTCTCCTCGAATTCTACGCGACAGACCGAAAGTAGACACAGGGTCTAAGAACCGGTTGCTGTCGGCATCCCGGAGCTCAACAATCGTGAAGATCCGGTTGCGCTGGAGCGCCGTGTTCAGCAAAATAGCGTTGAAAATCGCCTTTGAATCATCCGATCCTGCCTCATTGCCTTGCGCTAGCACGACAATTGACGAGGCCGTATACATTCCAGCAGCAACAAGAACGTGATGGCGCTGAGGCGATCCTTGCACGTGGTACACCTCACGAACGTCTCGCAATTGACGCCATGATACGCTGTCAAAGGCACCAGCATCTACGATAACAACGGGAACCATGCGCTCGACATGTGGGGCTCGAAGTGGTCGCAAGAAATTCACTAGACGAGACACGAATCGTTGTCCCCCAATCTCGTTGCCAAAGTTGCTGCAAATGACAATGTGGCCACCGGAAACAAGCAACTCTGGTGACGGTGGTGACGGGACCTGGGATGGATCGTCGCCAGCCCCGCATTGCATAACGTATGCTCGGATGTCTTTGGGAACGCGCCTTTCAACGTTGTGCTGGGCTTGACGAGCTCGGCTGGTCAAGTTATCGCGATTCTGTAGAAACTTCGTGTTCAAGGACAAAGCAGCAACGCTGCTCATGGTCGGCGTTCCAGCATATGGCTCAAGAGAACAGACTGACTCAGCAATCAAGTAGGCTTTTGTGCTTGGTTCAATGCGGTACCAACGTCCGGGATTGAATGCAATCTCTCCATCCGACTCGACAGCAATCAGAAGCACCAACCCATTCGACTGTCGGTGAATATGCAGGGTCGCTTGGACAAAGTTCATGCCATGGAAGTGCTTCGCCATGTAGCAGGAATAAATCTCGTTAGCGGCACCAGAAATGTATTCGGAGACCCATGGTTTTACCAAGTGGGTCTGATGGGCACCGACTTCAGGAGTCTCGCCACTTCGACTCGTTATCAAATTCGACACCACTGTTGAAAGGCCCGGACATCGGCAACTGAGTCCCATTAAGCCCAAACGAATTTCGTCTGCACAGACCAGGTTCTCCTTTCGCAGCCCCGTGGCCTCCATGAGTGTCCGGTTGTCGGAGTTAGCTAGCATGGCAAATAACTGCGTGTGCTCCTGCTTGTGCTGCGACACCGATAAGACGCGGAGAACTGTAGCGGCATCTTCCTTGTTTCCGTTGTCGGCATACTTGTTCGGCAGAAAGAATACGGCCATCGCCCGATCCAGCTGTGCATTTTTCAGGTCAGGCTCTCGTAACGGAGATCCGTGAACAAGAAACACACGCTTGCGGTACCTAGGATTTTGCTCCACAAAGTCCATCACCTCCCGCTGGTGGTGGACAACCTCTTCTTCTGCCTTGTCAAACCGCATGAGCACGACAATATGCGTCTCACGAATCAAGCGCGTTCCATGATGTCTCCATTTCGAAACGAGCGGCTTGACAGATCGCTTCTCATCGTTGTCGCTTGCTTTTCCTCCTTCGATTGCAGCATAGTCTGCTTCGTGGATGCTACCGTAGCGAGCATCATTTTTCAACAGCAGTCTCAAACACGAACGAATGACGTTTGTAAAGCTCGGTCTGTTCACCGGCCCGTATGCTTCATTGTCGCCATCGTCACTATCACTTTCGTCACCCTGAAAGGCTGTTTCGTGATCGGGGTGGAAAAACTCGCGGATGAAATCCTTGGTCTGAGCGACGGACGGACTCCCAGTCACGATCACGTGAGCTGTGTTTTTTGCTCCATTGTACCGCACTAGGGTCCCATGCCGGTCCCTGTAAAGTGCCATGAAGGCAGCGGATTCATTCGCAAAGGTGTAGATACCAAACACAATGATAATGCAGACCGTAAACTGTCCCAGCACCGTCTGTGGCGAAAAGTCACCGTACCCCACGGTTGACACGGTCACAAACATGAAGTAAATGGACGAGAAAACCCCCCACGTTTCTTCACAATTCGAGAACTCGTCCGTGTTTGTCTTTGTCGCCCTGAGAATCGTCTCGGTACCTTCCGCATTGCTGCACTCGTACACGTGGAACAAGAAGCTGTCAATACGTGGCAACTCGCCCAGATGCTCGAGCGAGAAGAGCACAGCAGCGAAGAAAAAGACAAGACAAAAGACTTTGAACGTCACGAGCAGCACTTGCGAGAAGAACGTTTTGTTCGGATAGCGTGCGAACAAGTGGTCGACGACCACGTATCCCACGTACGACCGGATGAAGCCAAAATCCAACCACGACCGAAGATGGTTGTTCCCCACTACAATCGTCCGGAGCGAGACTGAAAAATGGGCTACAACCGACAGCAAGTCGAACAAATTGTGCAGCTGCAGCACGTACGTCGCTCTGCAGGTTGAGCACGACAAGTCCCGCACGAGGATATCGTCAGTACAAGTGTGGTTGAGAGAGAATCGGATTAGTGAGAAAGAAGCACAGCGCTGGACGCACTTGTTTTTGGCCGCCAGCCATCGAATTCCGTATCCAACTCCCGTCGCAATCAGGCACAACGACTCAATTGACCACGACGAGAAGCTCACGCTCAGTGACCCACCACGCACGACTACGCACGCAAAGGAAATCACGACGTTCAGTATCTGTCTCGAGGTATGGGCGCCATCAATCAGTAGATGAGACCGTCAAAGAATGTGTACTACTGCTACTACGTACTCCAGTTGACGCAGACGTAAAAGCTCGTAACAATTTGCACGAGGTAGTTCTGCCAATGCCCAATAGATCGACAAGAACCACTCGTCAGCGCACACGATCCAACGGTAGTCTAGTACCCATCCTGTTGCCAAGTGACCTGCGCTTTACCACGACGTTTGTGAGCGGCGAGTCGCAGAGTCTACGGAGCTGCTCGACGTATGTGAGTGAGGGCACTTGGAGCCACTCGTAGCCGATCGAGAAGACAGCGACAGCCACTTGAACGAGTAGCCAATCGCGCACTTGGTCCCAGATGAGGTACCACGACGCAGTGTAGCACTCAGACGAGTCGCTCGTGAAGGTGCAGACAGGGACCGCCAAGTCCATCGTGATGATTGCTGTCGTCGTCGGTTGTAACAATTGTCCCACTTGGTACGTCGTTGACTGCGCTGGCTCTCTTTGTACTAGAAATGAGCTGCTGCTGGTCAAGGCGTTTCGTGCGACTGTAGCTCGAGAGACGATCATCGACTGCGCGCGCAGGAGGAAGAGCAGTTGCCACAATGCCACGTCATTGCAGCTTGTGTTGGACTCAGTTGGCAGGAGGAGGGGAGGGCACCGCACAAACGGTGGGAGGCCTCGCCACGTTATAGTCGATCTACCGCTGTGTCGTGTGACACGCAGTCTGGTTGGCGCTGCCTCGTTCCTCCCTTCTTGCTGCTACCAGGGCGACCATCCCTTCAGATTAGGGACTTACTGTCCCACGAGCCGGCGTCTGTCTGACGTCCAGAGAGGTTCGGTCGGTAGAAAAAAAGTGGTGCCGGATCTGCACTCCCCGCCGTGTGCCCCGTGTGCTTTGCTTTCGTTGCAAGGCCTTTTGCACTCGAAGCGGACTCGATCGGTTGTCAGTTATGACTGTCGAGCCGTGACCAGAACAATCGTGAACTCGCTGCTCGGGTGAACGTGTATTGCTGCTGCCATTATGTGGGCTGGAAGCGCAAAGTCTGACGAGACGATGCGTCTTGTGTCTCGAGTGGTCGCCGGTTCTCTCGGCGATGCTGCATGACAGCCCTTGCGTTGCTTGGCAAAGGCATTGCCTAGCGACACCTGCTCCACCAATTCTGAGTTGGCACGGGGATCCCAACTCGACAATGAGAAGCAAACGTGTTGTGGAAAGTGACGAGATACAACGGGACTGGTCGGCGATGATGGCGGTAGCGGCTTTGCCCTCTTTCTGTCACTGCAGCGACCGCATAGTTGAGCCGTGCGCATGTTGACGCCACGCTGTAATCCGTGTGAAAACCCATCTGCCACAACCACGCCATCATCGGGAAGCTCAACGAACGTTGATGTGGAGCGATCGATGGTCTGTGGCACGTCGAGAACACGTCGAGAAGTCAAACTCCTTCGGGCGTACCTGTCCTTTGCCCGCTTGATCTCTCCGAACGTCCAGTTTCACTAGCAGAAGTATACCCGTCGTGATCAAACCAGAGCGTCCGTGCTGGAAATTGCACCAGTGCGTGTGGTGCAACAAACTATGTGGGCGTGTGAATACTTCGTCGTCGTCTGAGCTGCATATGTCCTCAGTGCTGATGAAGGATTTCCATGTGCTGCACTCCGCCCCATCTGCCGTATTCTTCAGCGCTTGTGGACTTCAACTTCGATCCCTAGAGGTATGCTGCTTCTCGGTGTAACTATATCGTTGAGCGTTGAGAACCGCCCTCTGACCTGCCTCGCCCTCGTCGGCTATCAAGTGCCTGAAGATGCTGTGTAAACAAACGTGCGCCGCGTGTGTGGTCGACGGATAGCAACGATACATCGGCTACTGCTCGAGTAGTTTGCACGAACCAGCCACCGTCGTTGTCCGTTTGACGCCAAAGCTTCGCCATGTACGTCCTCCACTTTCAAGAAAAAGCGACATGGTCTCTCCTGTCGTCCGTGCGGATCGCAACAACGATCGGCTTTACCGCGTTCCTGGCGGTACGAGCTTCCCGTAGCGGATGGGGCAGCCACATACGGGATGTGGGCTTCCACGGACGCGAGCCAGATGCGACGTTCGACTCCAGGCCAGACGAACCAGTGGTGCGACACCAGCACGTGACGACTGCCACCGCTGGAGAACGTGGATGGGTCGACTTTCGGTAATCATATTGCTGCAGCGACAGAAAGCCGTCGCGATCGACCAGACGAGCTTGACGTCCGATTTGAAGCATGTGGCGCGGATAGAAGCGACGACGGTGAGCCGACGCTCGATCACGCTCATCGACCGCTTTTCTTGCTACCTGTAGCAAAGCTGAAAGGCTCATGGGTCGTAACGCGCTTCAGGAGGGCCCGCCCATGGATTCGTACGGTGCGAGTGATTCAGTTGCCACGCAGTGTATGCCGCGAGCAAAGGATGACAACGTCCGGGGCGAGACTGACAGGCGTCAAACGACGATGACGTAGTGTCAAGCACTTAGCGCCGATACCCCCCACAAAAAGCTAGCGACAACACTGATCGACAAGAAACGCTAGACCTGCGCGCGAGTTGCTCAGTCCTGTCAAGGCTGAGCTCAAGACAGACATTACACAGGAGGTGGCAAAGCGCGAGGCGATTAGTGGGAAGCTTGCAAACAGGGCTGCCACATGAACGCTTCCGCACTGACACTAACTCATGGGGGACGCACTCGAGTCACGATCGCGCACGCTTCGGTTGGCGTTGTTCCCATTGCACACTGCAACATATTGCGCTATCCGGTCCTATCACTTTGTCCACGAGTGCTGGTGGCGTTGGACCATCGAGCGAAGAGAAAAAGACAACTTGCGATGCTCGACAGGTGGGCGCAACAGCCGACTCGAGACGATTGACGCATTGTTCATGCGCGGTACGGTTGACCAAGTGGTCCAGACGGTGTATCATCTCAGCTCGAACAAAAGATCGGTTGCTGACGGAGACGAACAAGAGAGTTGTGGCAACCAACCACAAGGTGCACGATGTTGATCGGTGATGTACCAAGTTCCCGCGGCCTCACCTAGTTTGACAACCGACCATCTTGCTATCAAGTCGATCAGTTCAAACGCTTCCGCTGTAAAGCTGCGTGCCCTCCATTACCGATCCTCGTCGGCGTCTCAGACTGTGCAACATTGCCAGATGCGTAGCGCGCATGCCCTGTATATCAGTGGTGCTAACGATATTGATCGAGTGCAGTTTCGACACACTGGCCCCAGCACCATTCTAGTCGACGCGAGTGTCAACAAACACTGCGACCTCGAAGAAATCGACAATGGAGTTCCTCAAGTCACGGGGGATGCGTGCGACCTATGAGCGAGAAACCCGCCGCCCATTCTATACGACTCCATCCGCTCCTCTCGGACACAACAAGCAAAGACGATGCGAAAGGAATCCCATCGCCTGGTCTTGCGGAAAATGTCCATCTCAGACGGAGCGGTCAAGAACGTGCGGTAACACCTCCAGTCGAACGGACGTCACAACTGGCTTCTCCTATGCTCAGGAGCATGTGGTATGCCTCTTGGCGCCTACTACATGCTCTACTACCAAAGTTGTGCCATGGACACTCGAAGATTCGATGTTTGTTCAGTATCTCTGGCCTCCTCGATCGTGTCCCGCCGTATCCGTCGATGCATTCACTACAGTACCTTGACGTGCCACGCTGTTGTCAAGTGAGCGGGCACACGGACGACAGCTTGCACCCGTTGTCTCAGCTATTCCAACGCTGGGGCCAATCGTCCAGTGGGATTGTGCTTTTCAGCTTCCCAGCTTTTTCATACGATGGCCGAAAGCTTTCAACGTCACTGCATGGGCGAATCTCGTGCATCACTAGCATCTTGACAAGGGTACGCATAGCTGCGACAGTCAAAGTTTGTCTGTCTGCTTGTTTGTCTGCTTGTTTGCCTGTTTGTTTGTTTCTTCCGAGACCACGACGACAGACGAGATTCCTCGACCATCTAATCTGTAGCTGCTGACCCTGATCCTTGCGACGTGGCATCCACAGAAAAAGGGAAGCTAAAAACGTCGAGTTCAAGGCTGTCAAGAGGATGTGAAGTGCAGCACCTGCACCTGCACATGCACACCCGACCGAACCTGCAACTGCCTCGACCAAACCCGTCTAGAGACGCGTCGCCCACTTTCGCAGCTGTCGATGCGCACGTTCGAGACCCGCGCTCGGTGTATAGTCCCTCTCGATCCACAGTAATACCATCGTCCGTGTCAAACGACCGCGTGACGGCCAACCCGAAAGTGTCGTCGACGTGGCAATCGTCGCTGGCACCGTCGTGGTCTGCCACGATTTGTCGGCTTTGCCGCTCCCCAGCTGACCTTCCGGATCTGGTCGGCTCGGTTTTGTAGGGGTCGCCGGGACCTGCGTGATTTGCTACACCTAATTAGCTCCTGCGTCTCACCTGACCCGTTGCGAGTATCCCTCTCGAACGTCGCGAGATTCAGAATGCCCCGGCGTTCCCCGCGAGATACAACTCTCGAGGCTGTCTGCGTGCGTCTGGGACGATTCAAGACTCGCGCTTTTACGGTTCAGGAACGACGAGGTCGCCGAAGACAAGAGGATGCTCAAGTTGGCGGGCGTCTTTACCGTACTTTCGACTATTGGCGTCGCGGTGCTCCATAGGGACGAGATGGCAGCATCGGTAAAGCAGGCGGACCTCGACTCGGCCGACAGTGTCGATGACTCGAGCAGTGATGACAGCGAGCACAAAGTCAGCTACCGAGGCGAGAACGATTCGTCCAATTCACTAGCTTGGGGGCTCTTGGACATGAGTCGATCTGCCGTCATTAGCACTATCGAGTCGACGCACCCAAACTGGGTGGGCTCCGCACCCCGAACTGGCGTCGACACGGCATGCTATCGGGAAACACACATTGCCAAAGTCTGTCCCATTGGGTTTGAACGCAAGCTGGGAACCTGCTGGGCCCAGTGTCCGCTTGAATATCCCGTCGAGTGTGGACTGCAGTGCATTCGGCAAAACGATGATTGCACGCTCGAGATGCTGTCCAAGACGACGGTTGTTGTGCGGTCGGCACTGTCGCTCGCTACTTTTGGAGTCTACGGTGCGGTTGAGAAAATGGCAAAGGGGGTCCGGCTAGCCGTTAGCTGCGGCAAAGAAGTAGCAAATTTAGTGCGGGCGCTGACAAAGTACGTGAGGAACATTCAGACCACGAACACGCAAAACACGACCGACTACGTCATGACTATGCTGTACCAGACGGATAATGTGGTCTACGACATTCCGATCACTATCATGGCGTGTCGTGGAATCAAAGTCTCACCCGGTATGAAGTTCGATGACCGAGTGGTCAATACCATTGGCCTAATGCTGAAAGAAGTTGTGGCTCACAAAGAAGCCATCCTCTCGAGCTGGAAGTCGTTTATGGACTTCATGCGGAAAATTGAGCTAGACGATGTCCTTGACGACATGAAAGAAGACGAAATCTCGTCGCTGCAGTCGGCTTTGGCATCCAATTTGACCTGTGCACACGACATGAGGCGCCTCGTGGACCGCGCGTGGTTGACGGTGGCCTATCTGCGAAAACAGGACCCGGACATTTCCAAAGATGACGTCCGTGTGATCCTAAGCAAGTCGAACCTCATGCACCACGTGGTTCCCATTGTCACAAATAATTGCATGGAAGAACTGATTAACGGATCTGACGAGTCAACTGCGTACACAACGCGTGATATGCTGCGCAGGACGTTTGGAGGTATCGTGGACGACCTTGTTTCGTCAGGTGAGAGCAACAATGGCACACTTCTCCCCGCCACGGATTTCATGTATACTGCTACCGACAAGGCCCTCTTGTTCACAGCCATATGGGATCCCACGAACGTCTTGGGTGTTGTGTCGGAGTACTTCCAAACCATTTGCGGTCCAACAGAGTTAATCGGCGAAGTCGACGATGGCTCCGCGTCGGATGCGTTGGGTCTTTCGATCGTCGACAAAGCTTTCCGCAATAGTACGGGTACGTGGACCAAAAAAGGGAAGGGCACTGTCACCATCACATTCCAAAGCAAGGACGTTGAAAAGGTGAAGGTGAACATCGTGTCAGGTGGCAACGACATCGGTAAGATTAAAGTGAAACCCGGTGCGACCGTGACGTGGACTTCTAGCGTTAAAGCACTGGAAGGCAAGACACTGTACTTAGACCGATGGCGGTCTGGATTCCTAGGCATTCGAGGCAGCGGTGGTGGTTCGTTGTTACTTTGGGTTCCGCGATCGAGACAAGGTGGCGACTTGGAACTCACTGCAATCCTCAATGCAACTTAGTCAGCTACAAACTATTTAAACAACGATAGACACAACACGTTGTGAAACAGAAGAAGTCGAGTTCGGGTCTTTCTTCCATCCTCGCTTCGACGGCACAGTACAAGAAGCTGCATGTTTTAGTAAGCGTCTCCATCTCAGCTGAGCCATTCCCTGCACGTTGTAGCTTTGTCGAGCACAAACGGTAGGAATGCCGATTGTAGATAAAGCATTCCGAGCTTGCAACAATTACGGCAAATGTCTTGTTAGCTTTACGATCCAAAGTCTTGGTCAAATGCACTGGGAGACTTTGGGCCTTGACCAAAGGTAGGAGTCCTTGACGCGTCCGGCTACATTCAAAGTGACGCTTTTGCAATCGTTGCCAGTGATCAGAGATAGGTCGTATCTCGCGCAAAGCGCAGCGTGCACGAGCCAACTTGCAGTGTCTATCAGACTTTCGAAGGTTGACGGCAAAGTGCTGTCATCTTCCATTCGTTAACCACGTGGTCGACTGCAAGCGGAAAGCGGGCCGTTGGCAGCACAGCAGAAGCAAAGCACATACGCGAGCTGAAGTAAACAAGCGACAGCAATTTTGTGAAGTCTGCAGGAACATGCAGGGCCACACGTTGTTCAAGCTGGTCTCGAATCGAGGCTGAGTCGCAATAAGAACCATTGGAGATGCAATCACATGCAAGCAAATCCCAGCAAGCTGCACTTGGTCTGGTGTTGTCTACGACGCTCTGTCCCATGCAAGTGGTCAACGTCGTTTAGAACTTCACGAAGAGATCGACTTACACGAATGAGGTGCCATGTGCTCATCATGTGACTCCAGTCGCATCTTCCGGATGGCCTCAAAGCTTGGATAGGCCTTGTACAGACGCGCTCGTTGGACCTCGCCTACCTTTCTCTAGCCCGTAGATCATCGGCCAATACACGTGCTTCTGTCGTTATCGACAATGCTCCTATTCTGCTCCGACTCTTCCTCCCGGTGCACGCACTCACCGACTCTGCCTCTCTACCTCATAACACGCTTCATCCTCACAAGATGCACGTGAGCGTCGGCATGCATCTCTTCCAGCTCAAGTAAATTCCTGTAAATTATTGTTCCGTCTACCATACCCATCATTTGAAACCTGTCCAGGCCTTTTCGACAACCCGCCGGTGGCAGCGCGTCACACCCCATCTACTCTCCGAGTACAGCAACCGCCAGATGTGTTCACTGAGTGTTCTTCTCACCACAGAAGCGTCTGTTCCTTCTGTCGTCACACTGCGAACGCGGACATACCGTAATCAGAATCTGCCACGAGGTCACACACCCGTTTTTCGATACCCTCAGAGCACTTTTGTCATCAAACTATCAGCGAGAACTGCCTCCACGTACCAAACTTGGACACTGATCGGCCAGCGACTGTCCATTGCCTGCAATCGTCCAATGTATCCACTCGCACTGCTGCTACACGAGTCGCTCTGGCACCGACGAAACGACTGCAGTGGCAGACGTCTGGCGCAGCGCCTCTACGACCACAGCAGCTTCAACGAGCTCGTGGAAACGGACCGTACCCGAGTCGGACGCTTTTCAGCCAATCAGGAGACGATTCAAGCGACACGCTGCAGCGACCGATCAACCGCCAAGTCGGTTATGCGGTCCGTATACGTAGTATACGTGCTCTGTTTTTGGTGCAGCCTCGACCCCTCGTGCTGACCAAAAGACCAAAAGACCAAAAGACCAAAATGCGATTCAGACCAGCGTCGCATACCCCGCCCACCTGCATGATAAGGGACACTTTGCGCCGTCCATTTCGGGCCCGACACAAAAACAAGAGGCATGCGACTGACTGACTGCCACACTCAAAGTTCGCTCGCCAGTCACCCGCCTCCTGTCCAGTCATGACGCCGTCCACGGCCGCGGCCAAGTCGCTGCCCAGTGAGAAGCGCCACGAGGAGCGTCTGGTCCAGAAGCTGCGCGACTTCCAGCGCTCGCAGCCGCCCAACAAGCGCTGCTTTGACTGCAACGAGATGGTCGCTAGAGACGCTTAATGCTCGACGAGCTGCTTTGCCAGTCTGAAAACGGCGATGGTGGCGGCTGCTGTGTGTGTGTGTGTGTATTGACACTGACCTCTTTGTATCTCTTGTGCTGTGCAGATGCCGCAATACGTCTGTCTGGACTTTAACACATTCGTCTGCACGGCTTGCAGCGGTATCCAGTGAGTTCAACCGCCCGCACACCGATACACATACGTTTTACAAGCAAACGCACGTGTGCGCTCGAGGTCTTTACTCGTGAAGTAACTGCTATGTGGATGCTATTGTGCGTGTTTCGTTGTTGCCAGCCGCGAGTTTGCGCACCGCGTCAAGTCCATTTCCATGTCCAAGTTTACGGAGAAAGAAGTGCAGGCATTGACCACGCGCGGAGGCAACGAGGTGGGCGCTGACCAGCAGGAGCGCGGTTGCTGGTGCTCTGCTGACAGGGTCTTGGTTTTGTTGCCATGGGCGGTAGGCTGCGCAAAAGTATTGGAGAAGCAGACACGACCCGACGTTTCGGCCGAAGGGAGGCAACGACGGCGAGCGCACGCGCAACTTTATCCGGTTGACGTACATTGATCGCAAGTACGAACCGAGAGATAATGAGAGGATGAGGTGCTTGTGTCGTTGTGGCGAAGTGCGTTTGGTTCTGACGATACGCTTTGTATTTGGTGTGATGCAACGTAGATGGACAAGCGAGGCTCCCAAGGATCAAGAATCAGAGCGATCGTCGGTAGGGCGTTTGGCCTTACCTTTAGCATTGTCCGCATATCGGGCACTGTGTTGTGTTTGACATTGTGCGCGAGTGACTTGCTACTTTTGTTTTGTCATTGTAGAAAAGCAGCAAGAAGAGAGAGAAGAAAAACGTCAGCGCCGACGTTATCGTTTCGTCCAGTACAAAGTTGGCAACGTCTACAGCTGAGAGCGGGTTTGGAGACTTTTCCAAGTTTGAAGGCAGCAGTCAAACGGCAGCTACGGTAGCGCGATCGGACGACGTTGGCAGTTTTGATGCCCGGGCTCCTGACAACAAGGATACTGGAGATTTTACAGATTTTGGCGACTTTGAGGGATCAACCGGCAGCCCGCATACGACTCAGAAGGCAACGTCGAAGAGACATGCACCTCGGCCGGTGCCGAAATTTAGCTCGTTCACGATACCGCCCCCGCCTGGACCAAACTTTCGTGCATCCAGTGCAAGCACGACGACAGCTACGGAGGATCTAATGGGTCTTGGCCCACCGCAGCAAGACAACAACCCGTTCGGATTTGACGCGCCAGCACCAGCGTCCGACAACAGAAACCACCCGACACCAGCAGACTCGTCTCCGTTTGATCTCGACGTGCCAGCACCGAGCAGCTGTACAGGCGGCTTCTCCAGCACAGTTTCTCTGGACCCGCTGAGCGACATGGCAGCCGCAGCCTCGCCAGCAAAGTCCACGCAGAGCAGTTCGCCGTTTGATGCATTCGACCCCCCGTCCGTGCCATCCTCTTCTATATTTGATGCGTTTGCAGCTCCCTCACCGGCGAGCAGCAACGCATTCGAGGCGCTTGGCGGAGGTGGAGACGCGTTCGGGGATTTCACGGGCTCCACCAGCTCGTCGCGAATCGACTCGGCTTTGGACCCTTTTTCGAGCACGGCCACGAAACCTGCTCCTCCTGCTAGCGCTGCCGATCCATTTGCAGCTTTTGACGATACGCGGTCGAGCAGTGGAGCTGCACCGAATGTAGGAAGTGCGGCTTCCGCATTCGGGCCATCAGCAGGTTTCCCAGGGTACAACAGCGTCAGCCTGCAGCAGTCGGTGATGGAGGATCCATTCGGGTTTGTCAGCGGCACAGGCAACAGCAGCGGGTTTCCAGTACCTCAGCAGCAGCAGCAGCAACAGCAACACAGTGGCCCAACTGGCCAACTGTTTGGCGGGTTTTCACAGCAGCAACAGCTCTACAATGCTTATGGTGGGCAAACGCAGCAGCAGCCGATGCAACCACTTCTGCAGGGACACCCGCTACAAGACCAGCAGCAATGGTACGGACAGCACCAAGGGTCTTGCGGTCAGCAGCAGTTGGTGCAGTCAACGGGACAGCAGTACAATGGACAGTTTTCGCCGTACCTTGTCAAGAGTGCTCATCCTGCGCCAGTTCCAGTAAAGGTGAGCGAAGCAGTGCAGGTACTTGTGTGTACGAAAGTTTGCTAACTTGTGTCGTACGTTTGCTTCGTAGGCCCCTGCGCCAGTGGCCGCGATCAACGATCCTTTCGCCGCGCTCAACCTTGGCAATCTTGGATTTGGTGGCACAAACGATAGCACGTCTGCAGCCCGTACACGTTCGGGCGGCGCGGCCAATTCGGCACGTGCAAATCAATCGAGGGCGAGTGCTGCGTTCGGAGCTGCTGCGTCAATGACTACTGTGGGTTCAGGATCGTCGTCTTACCCACAGTGCGTACTATCGAAGCGGTCATCGTGTCACGGATGACAGTGCTAATGTTGTTCTCATTGTGCACTAGGCCACAAGCTCGAATGAATGCCACGATGCCACATTCTACGCCAAACAACGTCGCAGTGGATGCGTAAGTTCGGAGCTGCTGTGTCACGAGCAACAAAACGTGTCCTGATTGCCACATGTGACTGTTTGTCTCGTGTAGGTTTGGCGACTTTGCAAGTGCAGCCGATCCGTCGCAGACGACGGGGTCTACCACCGCTAACCCTTTCGACTTGTTCTGAGCGATCGAAACGTCATGGGTAGCACTGGTAAATAGACTTACAGATGCCTGCTACAACCGCGCGACTGAGGAGATGAACAGGACGGCTCTTGCGAGTGCCAAGCGTCGATGCGAGCGTAATGGAATACAAGGACGAAGACGATACACACACGGAGGATTTCATGCGAGCGGTAGACCCAATAGCGTAGTAAGCTGCTCACCGAGAGCAACTTCCATGCACATTGTCGCTATGCACAACACAAAATCCGCCCGGACAGAAGAAAGCAGCAAAGCGCTGCAATCGACCCAGTGACGGCAGATGAGCACGATGTGGTTCTATTGCGCACCCGTTACGAACTCGTCCTCGCAGCTGCTGTGTGCCCCCCCCCATCTGCCACGCGTGGCGTCGTGGGCAAGCTCCTTAGTTCTCCTCGATCTCAATGTGGGTCTTCTCGGACACGTAGATACCATCGAGGAACTTACGGATATCCTTGCGACGCACAAGACAGGCCTGCGTGATGTTGGCGGCGTCCTGCGACACCTTTTGCAGGTCGATCCCGCTCAGCTCGATCTGGTCCTTGACGTCGCCCGTGCGCACGTAGCTCACGCCCTCCGACAGCGCCACGCGACGCACGCGCTTTTCGCCCAGGAAATTCCGGATCTCCACCACGTTGTTCTCAAACGTGACGTTGATGGGAAAGTGGGCGTACACGAAGCGCATCTTGTACAGGAACCCCACACGCACGCCCGTGATCATGTTCTCAATCAACGAGCACACCGTGCGCACGCAAGCGAGCTGCTTGCGGTTGCCGAACCACAGGTCGACACGGATCTGCTCCTTGTTCACGCGGCGCATGTCGAGCGTCAAGTGGCGAAAGTCGCGCGTCAGCTCGCCGCGCTTGCCGCTCACGGTGACCTTGCGGCCGTCCAGGACGACCTTCACGTCGCTGGGGATCGTGACGAAACGGGTAGCGAGAAGCTGGCGGGGCATCTTGACGGAGCGTGGGGCAAAGGAGCGCTAGTTCGCAAGTGCTCTATCACCCAATTGATTGGGGGCGCGTGCATACCGCCGCGATGAATTGACTGGTGGAGAGGCCGTGTGGAAACCCGCGCGGCACACTGGACAAAAAGACAGCAGGGATTTCGACGAATGAGAACGCGCCGCATCGTGCGAGAGGCAGTACAATCCACAGCGAGTCGGGCCGAGCTCACGTTTATGACTGTTGCAGCCTGCTGCTGTCCTGACCACCCTCTGTCGTCTCGGTCTCTTCCAAGTCGGCTGCTCTCGTTCCGTCGTCCTCGTCTTCGCTTCCTGCTTGCATCGCTCGCTGTAGCTCCTCCACGCGGGCGACGACACGGCGCTCAATCTCGTCGTCGGTGATCTTGATGCTCGAGGGCAGCAAAGACGGGAACGCCAGCGCTCGGGGAGGCCCCTGACTCGCCACAAGCACTGCAGTCGTCGGATGGTACACAGCAGGAGCTGCGCCGTACTTGGCTTCGTACCGCTGCACGCCCTTGCTCAAGCGCCAGTCGTGAAACTTCTCGCGGCCAAACACCACAGCCGCTCCCACTGCCGCGCCGGCAGCCGCTCCCTGCACCCCACGCACTCGACCACCTGGTCACCAAACAGACGCACGAGGATCAACACGTCAGTACGTCGTATGCAACGACGGATCCCGTTGCCATGGCAGCAAGGGGGCGTGCCATGCCATGGCACTTCCAGCCGTCGGCCGTACCGACGACACCAGCGTAGAACCCGCCCGTGACCAAACCAGCAGCAGCTCCCGTGATCCAGTCCTTCTTGTCGCCTCGTTTGTCAGCAATCACTTCTTCCAACGCTGCACCCCAATTGACACCACCAAACGACCACAAACGCACACGACACGACACGACACCACTGTGAGTAGAACAGCACGTGTGTCGACCACGACGTGCCCACATTCACTACGCTATGTGAACACAAGAGACGCCATCCGCTCGGTTTCGTTCCCTCGCACCAATGTACGTCGAAGAGAGCACGAAGAAATTCGAGCCCATCGACGCTGCGTAGAACCGCATGCTCTCGTGCCGCAGCGCCGCGAGCACAGCGCCCACGGTCGCTCCCGTGGCACCAGCCATACTGGCGCCCACGAGCATGTGCTTGACCGCGCCTTTGGCCTTTCCTACGCGCCACACGCACACACTCGTTGTCAGCATCGCGTCAATGTGATCACAGCACAGCCAATGGCCTGCAACAACGCATTGTCCGCACGCAGCAGCGCCGCTTCCTCTGCCTCGGACCGGCGCTCGAACATGCCGGTCAACCCGATGCTGTCCCAGTGAAGTAGTGTCGATCGCTATCGACATGGGGACGACCGTATTTGCCTTTCCACCACTCGTCTTTCTCGGTATACGGCGCCCTAAGCGCCAATCACAAACGACCGATTACCGTGCGTTATACCAGCACGTGCTTCAGCCAATCGGCGTTTTCGACACCCACTGCACTGCCGAAGGAACAGATGGAGCGCAATAATCGTCCGGCACGCGCGCGTCTCGACGACGCGTCGGAGCCACACGCGACCGGCGCAGTGACTGCCAATGCACACTGCACAGCTCGTCCCGTTCTCTCTCCCGCGCCGCTTTCTTCCAGCCCGTTGCGCCGCCCGTCGGGGTCCACGCGACCGAAGCGGCTGCGACGTCTGCAGCGGTTTCGCGCGTCTGCTGGACGACCGGTCCCGTCGTTCTGGGACCAGGCGCAGCACCTGCGCGACTCGTTGGACGAAGACGCGCTCGTCCAGCAGAACCAGCGCTGCTTGTGCCGGTGTTCCTCGTGTCGGCACGAACGGCGCTGGAGCTCTGCATTGCCGCCGTATCAATGCAGTAACAAGAACTGTCGGATCACATTTGACGGGTTCATTGACCTCTTTGAGCACCAGCTGGACGTCCATGGCGGCATTGACCCGAAAACCAGCCGCATCGTGAGCGAGCTCTACCATCAACAGCAAGGCGTGCTGGCGTGCCCGCCCGCTACTGTATACGCTGGACAGCAGTATTTGTTTCCGAGTCGTCCACCCGTTCGGTGGAAGGCTATGGACGATGTGGACGAGGAGGCCAGGACGTTACCGCAGCGATTGCGGGACAGCAATCGAAACCTCTGTGTGCGGCCGGTCAATGTGTTCAACGTCGCGTACGAGCTCGTAAAGCGGAATGGATGGAAGGAAATGGACCGGCAGTATGAAATTGCCATGGAACACTACTTCTCGGCGATGAAGTACCCTGTGTCAAGTCGCGGGCTTCACGATGGCTGCCCGTCGATTGAACGCGGCAGGAACTGGCTGGTACGGCGAGTTGATGTGCGTCAATGGGTTGCTAGATTGCTGACTGTGTTTTGTTGACTGGTGTCGGGGCTGATCACAGACGTCGACCGATCGGGAAGACGCTCGGTGGCTGTTTCCATTTAGTCTGGGCGACAAGGTGGACGTCGAGCCAGAATATGTTTTGTTGGATACAAAGGACGACCGAGAAGTGCACATCGAGTTGAGCGACAACGAAGGTGCGCGAGACGCGTCTGCTGACGACAAAAGGACGGACGAACATCAGCTTGTGCACCCTGTTGTACCATAGTCTGTGTCGGTCGAAGTATCGGAAGACGCTGGTCGTGACAGAGTATGATGACGATGATAGCTGAATGATGTCAAGGAACGGCGACGGTCGTTGAAAGCGACGTCGATGCCGCTTGATGGCGGCATGGATCAGGAAATCACCGGAACGGGCGACCTAACGCCTAAAGTGTCGACGATCGGTGCGACGACAACAGCCCATCGAAGCGACATCTGAGCGTGAGGTCCCTGCGGACCTCGAAGCGCGACGAACGAAACAGCTTTGCTCGAAAAGAAGGGAAGCTGTACTGTGTCAAGCTTTTTGCAGCAGCAACATCAGACATTGGCAAATAGAGCGCTTGCCTAGCGCAAGGAAGCTGCAACCTCAGCAGCAAGCGCGACACACGAACTGGGCGTATCCAAAGCGAAATCGACAGGACAAGCGACCGCAGCAAGTAGAACCCACGACACCCGACAACGGTACAGCGGTACAACAACGGTCTATCGAGACCGTCGTCGAATAGAGCAATAGGGTACCCTATGCCTCGTTCGCTAACGCAGTCCCACTCCCCACTTTGTACCCACTTTGGCCCGAATCGACACTCTGTGCTCGAGCAATGGCCACCAATCCAGCGGCGCTGCTGCCGCTCGACGTCGAGTCCCGCGAGCGCATCCCTGGCAGTCCGCTCGTCCCGGGCGGCGTCTCATGGTCTGAAGACAGCCGCCTTGCGGTCGTGTCCGACTCGAGCGTCCTCGTCGCGACGTTTCGCAGTCGCGAGCTCGAGATGTTCCAGCCCAAAGGTCCCGCCGTGTCCAAAGACTTTGTCTTTCTCCCAGACGCGACCGAGCACGAGCGCATTCCATTGGCAGTTCCTCCCGTAGTGGAGTCGCTCGACGCGGGGCTCCCTCGCGCAAGCACCACGTACTTTCTGCTGCACGAGAGCGATCGACATCAATACAATCCCAAGGAACTGTCGCTGTCCAAGAACGACTGCAAGTCGTTTGTCGCTGCCGTCTGGGGACCGCGAGGCTCGGCGCCCAACTCGTCGTGTGCGCTCTTGGCACTGACCGCCGCGTCTCGCGTGACGCTGCACTTCCCCTCGAGTTTCCACATGGACTGGAAGCAAGTCGCAGTGTTTTCCGAAACGTTGTTTGACTTCCTCGAGCACAAAGGCTTTCGACTTGGCCCGTCGCACGACTTGGACAATCGCGACCGATTGCCATTGCGTGTGGCGACAAGGAATGGATTCGGTGGCGACCAAGCGACCAAGCGGCAGCACAAGAAGAGCAAGGTTGACCCGAAGATCGGACTTGCTGCAAGGCACTCGGTTGCCGAGTATGCGCACAAATGTGCCATGGTGTCGACACTGACGATGGCGTGGTCGCCGTTCATGTTGACAATGGACACGCACGAGCCTGTGTCGCTCATTGCACTGTCGGGACGGAAAGTGAGCACCATTTGGGTGTACAAGTATCCGTCGTTCGTGGCGGACGAGGAGGTGCCCGTTTTTCTGTCGTCGACACCGATTGCGTGGATCGACACTGAAAAGTATGGATGGGTTTCCACGAGTACGTGGCAGCAGATGCATCGGTATGGAACAGGTTATACAACGAGCCGAGACCGTGGACTCGCGCTCGGAACGTCGGAAGGTTCTGTGCTGATTGCCAGTGTTCCAGTGCGCGCCGCTACAACAAACGATGGCTTGCCTCAGAAACTAGCAGTAGATCGCGTGATTGTGGCACCGCACTCGCACCCGGTCTACGGTCTATGTATGGGAAGTCGTTGGACGTACTCTAATAGCCGGACGAACGATTTAGTTGTTGCGTCGGGGTCAACGATTTCTGTTTGGGACCTGAAAAAGAAGAAGCAAGCACAACCAAACGTGATGTGGAAAGCGCACGATGGCAATGTAACTGGAATTGACATCAACTACTTTGGAGACACGGTGTTCACAGCTTCAGTAGATGGAACGATCAAAGCATGGGAGAAGAGCACAGGCAACGTACGTTACTCGAGCGATGCAACATCTACCGACTCAGCAGTCACGAACCCCAGTGACTCTGCTACTACTACTGCGTCGAGCACTAGCACTACCAAGTATCCCGTGTTCGGTTTGGCGATGTCCCCCAGCTCTGCCCAGTTGGCGTGTGTCTTCATTATCCCTCCAGCATCCCGGCCCAACCGCAAGTCACAAGCCGACGTTTCCTACAGCCGTGTGTCAAGCTCACTTGAGTACATTCCATCGCCTTTGCTGAAAAGCTCCGATTACTTCGTGGACGCTATGTGTCGCATTCTGAGCGAGAGTCAGTCCATGGGCAGCTTCATGGACGTGGTGTGGTTATGCTATAATGAAAACGCGACGCTGATGTCGCTGAATGGGACAACAGATTTGGTCATTCCTAGCATGTTGAACAAAACCAATAGCGCAAACGGCGAAGCAAGCGAGAGCAAGATGCTTGCGCGCCAACCAATGTACTTACATCTGTGTGAGGAGCTGGAGAAGCGCTACTACGAATCAGTCCAGGATATGAACTCTGCGAAATGTGATGCCACGCTTCCCGTTCCGCTTTTTTTACAGGCATCGTTGCTGCTCCGCACTGCGATCACTCCGGCAGACCACCAAGTAGCGGCCCAAGAAATCGTCCTCGCTAGATTGCGACGGACTTTGGGGGTGTATTGGGCAGAGCGTTGTTTGACGTCAGTACTAGAGGCTTCGAAGAAGGCTAGCATGGCACTACGCGACTATCTTGCCAGTTCGGTGACGATGAAGTACAGCGTATTGGCCATGGCTGATTTCCTCAGTGTGCAGAATCCGCTAACACACCGCATTGAGGCTCTTGTCACGCATGCCTACGATCAATTGGACCCGACGGTGAATGCCAGGTGGATCGCATACGTTCAAGCAAAAACGGACAGTGAGAACCGGACTGGCGATTCTGACAATGTCGCTGCAGTCTATACGCCGCCTCCGCGAGAGACGTGCTTCATTTGCGAACAAAGCGTCCCGTTTGGCGAGCTAGAGATTGTCTGTGAGTCTGGCCACACTTTGGAGAGGTGCTTCCTCTCGTTCCGCTGTATTGCTGCCATGGAAGTATGGAAGTGCATGGGTTGTGGAGCATCAGCAGCTGAAATCGACTTGTCGAGCGGCACGCCTCCTTTTTATTTATTCAACTACGAGCAGGCTAATGACGCTAAACTCACTGCCGCGGCTACCCCGACGATCCTCTGCCGCCTGTGTGGTAGCTACTGCAGCTTGTCGAAATACTGACGTGGAACGAAAACACTGATTGGCCGCCACGCGCTGTTGAATCCCGGCCAGCCAGCACTCTTGTGCGGACGAGATCCACCCACCCGTGTTGAATGCCGCCAGCATGTTGACGCCTACAAGCACCGCTCGCTCGTGCTGGTTCCGAAGTTCTGAGTCCAGTATTGGCCGAAGGTGGATTGCTCGCTGAACGCGTAGCCGCAGCCGAGCATGGTAAACTTTTCGCGCAAAATGTTTGCACGATGGGTAGGAGAAGCCATCCATGCTTGAACTACTTCGTCCACCGATGCCTGGCCTGCCGCCACGTTTTCACCACAAGCGATGCGATCGTATCCTTCAGCTTCGATCCGCTGGGACATCTTCGAGCCGTCTGAGCCCGTGTGGCCCATGTAGTCGTGGACAGCCATGTCATTCGAGTGGCTTTGGGCTGCATTCTGGAGTTCCAGATTCATGCACAACTTTGGCAAGTTTCTGGCAGTGCGTTCCCTGTTCACGGCAGCGAGTATACCAGCCCGAAACTCGGCCGGAGTGTACGAAGTTTGCAAGTGACGGACGGGGTTCAGGTTGACAAGGTTGCCAACATCCTTGAGAGCGCCCTTGTCGATGACCTGAGCAGGTGCTGAAAAGTCTTCGTAGAGGCCCTCGCCGATGATGGGAAGACGTGCTGTAAGGTTCTTGACCATGGGGTTACCAATGATGATTGGCTCTACCACCGATCGAACGATGGCTGCTGCGGGCACCCCGAGAAGCGTCACGGTGAGCGCGAGTAGGAAACGAGCCGACATGGTGTCAAGTGAGAGAACTGCAGCAAAGTTGGGAGATGGCGAAAATTGAAGAATGAGCAGTCGCTCGAGCTCCCTGACGACGTGCACGGTAGTAACCCATGAGAACGACGGACAGGGAACGACGGACAGGGAACGACAAGTAGCATGGGCGTTCAATCAGTGCAGAGCTGTTGCCGGGCAATTGTCACGTTGGATAGGCTTACAAGATGTGCTGAATCGTAAATTGCCGCGCCGGATGAGCTTCCGAGATAGGCTGAACTGTACGAAGCTGAGTGAGTTGGTAACTACGTCGGGTCGTCGAGTCATAGCATGTGGGCTTAGCTTACGCATATCGAGCTTATCGAGCTGCAAGCAATGTAGTGTCTCCATATGAACCTTGTGACAGCCTTTTGTGCGAAGGATCAGCAAATAGGTGCCATACAATACACGAAGGGCCAGTCGTGTGAGTCTCACATCGAAAAGGCCCACTCCGTTATACGTTTGTGCGCGCAGGATGTGTAAAACTGTGTGCAACGCTGGAAAGAAAGTCCCTCCACCGAAATTCAACCACAAAATCGACTTTTGCTCGTGCCGTCGCACACTGTGCACAGATAGACTGACTCTCTAGGATTTCACAGGGAGCTGTGCACCAACTCGACCGTCTTTACTGTGCAAGGACAAACCCGTACGCCTTTGTTCAGTCTTCATCGATCCGACGATGCAAAGCTGCAGATTCCCGATCAAAAGAGCTATGCGGACGAACAACACGTCGGGACAGGCGTAAGACAGTAGTAGAAGTCACGAAATTACTTGCTCTCTCTCGTTCATGCTGCCCTCTCGCACATCCGTCGACGAGTCAATCGACACATTCTCGACAATTGCCAGAGCCATGGGACGCAACGTGAACAACGTTGACCTCGAAAGGTTTTAGTGCCGGTGTCGATGTAGATGGGCGAGCGTTAGTAATCATGCGAAAAATTCGGGAGTTTATCTTTAAAGTTATGTGCGCTATTTAATTTGCTGCGCTGTCGATTACTGTTGTGTACCGTTTGTCGTTCCAACGTGCACTTGTGACCCAGTTTCGGAGCTGACTACACTATTTTGGGCAGATTTACGATTCGGCACGGACAAAGTCGAGCTCGACAATCGAGGCCATAGTAATTCGTCATTACTGGTCAGATACGAGACACAAGGTGACTGCAACTCTTTGTCGCTAAACACGCCTTCAACACAGTGTTGTATAATATCGCACCTTTGCTTCAACGAAACTACAGCTACGATGAAAGTATTCCAGTACAAACGAGTTTACCACACGGTCTTTTCTCTCAGATACCCACTGACCGTCGGCCCACGCCGTTCGTTTTATATTTCGTGTACCCCATCCATAACATGTAACATTTTCGATCTCCGCCACTCAGCTACTCCTCATCCCGTTCTTCTCCAAGCACAAATCGATGACCATACAGTGGATGCTAGAGTTTGCTACTAGCTTCTTTTTGAAAGTCTCGGATTTTGATCTGACAAATTTTACGCGAAGTTATGAGACCCTAACGTCCGGAGAATTTTATTGATTTTGACTTGCGGCGAGCCCCATTTGGCCGCCCTAAATTCCACGCGTAGACTTCATTTCTGGATTGTTTCGAATATGTCCATGTGCAACTCTATTAATCAGTAGACGAATTAGCGTAAAAGAACCATTTTCGCAGTCTTAAAGTGCAAAATGGCCGTCGTCACCCTAAACTGCATCGTTTTGCCTATTTGTGTCTTCTATTTACTATAAAACGACGCGTTCAATTACTCGAATCCATCCAAACCCATTACGTTTTGCCAAAACTATCGCAAAGCACAATAATTGGCAGCATTTAAAACGTTCACATCCGTTTAGATTGAATTGGGGCCTTACAATGCGACCGACACTTCTTTACAGCGTGTTCAACGACCTTCCTAGTCAGGATCTTGCGATATACGTCCATGTACCCGAAGCGCTTTCGAGAATGGCGGCGGATGGTAGTGAGAGAGACGAATGCGAGGTATTTTGGGTCCATGTGCTCGAGACCCTTTTCGATCATGGTATTTTAATTCTCCCTAGAACAATTCGATGCAGGTCAGTTTGCAATGGAACCTAGGGTAATTGATGTAATAGCTGGCCGCAGTGACAGTCTCTTCCAAACTCTCTTTCGTCTCTTGAAATCATATTAATGTTAGATGACAGTACGGGCGCAGCAACAACTCTCACAACCTGCAAGTATCGAAGCCATTTGATGGGGCGCGGCTTGTTGGCGATTTTTAACTGATTAGTACATCGATTGGTGTTGAAAACTTGCAAATGCCGTGCTTATTGTGTGGAGTGCGACGGTAGCGTAGGAAAAGACGTTTTCGGTGGCGAAAACGGCACATAAATATATTTTTCTTTTGGCCGCCAAAATTAAAGTTACAGGTTATAGGTGGTGCGTACCGTATTGACAGCAGCTTAAATGCTCATATTATAGAGCACGGCTTTATGTCTTCTTCATCTGCAGTAGGTCTTACATCTTGTAAACTCATTCAGCGTTTGTACTAACGCTTCACTTGGTCGCCTGCACTATCCTTATCTTCTTACTCTCGAAGTCTCACGACAGCAATTCCTGCCTTTTTACCAGAACCATGCGGACGAAAGATCTGTCTCTATTCCCTCAACGAGCGAGGAGGACATATCAGGGCCGCTCGTCGATGATGCCGCTAGCTGCTGCTGCTACATCTTCTTACTTTCTGACACGCTGATAATGAGTAGTATGCTAGAACACCTTGGCTTCAGATCGAAGTGTGTCACGTCATGACTGGCTTTGCAATCTTTTTTGCGCATGGTTCACTATTTCCTATCAATTGCTACCGAGTGAGAGCATGTATATGATCTAGATACAGATTGCTTTCCGAACTTACACAAATTCTTCGCATATCGAACGCTCGGCCATATGCTCAGTGAGATTGACAAACTAATGCAATCGTACAGATACGTCTAAGCCAGAAATCATAGCTCGCACAGGGGTTCTTTCTCTCCAGGTATACAAGTCATACGCGTGAGTGATTCGAATAATTTGTTCTGCCACAACAGCTAATTACTTTTCGTGTAATAAAGGCTGGTCAGCCGAATATTCCGCATTCCCTCTATCGCGTACTGTATAGAATTGTCCAGATTCATGTAGTCTCCACCTCTTACTCAAGCTTTGGAAATTTAAGTCAGATACATGCAGTGCTCTAGCAAAGTTTATGATGCTTCGTTCTATCACCTGATCTATCGCATGCTTGGATTGATTTCTCCCTGCGTTTTTCCATCACGTACTGTTAAGTGGCGATTGGCTCCGCCACATTTCCTCTCCCTGCAATACCAAAGATGAACAATCCAATTATACGCGCCTTAAAGTATTTCGATTATACAGAACCACAAGAAGATTATGCTGAATAGATTTGTGAGTCAAACCTTTGAGCCCATTCCGCTCGCTTCCGTCAAAAGACCAATACTAAGCTTCTTCTGTCTCGCATCAGGAGACATCACTTGTAAATGGTGTCCTTGAGCTTGATTCTTTACATTTGGCCTTGTTCGCGATAGAATTTACATCCTTTACTTTTTAACGACACGTCAAGAGCCCCCTGTCCTCCCCAAGTCGATTATAAACATCGATGCTTTGTCTGACATACTCCGTCTATCAAGGCTGAAGTCAAACTGCCACCATTAAAGCCCTGACTCTTCGGGGCTCTATGAGTGGCTAGCAATCCACAAGTAGCAATATACATTCTGGTAGCTATCGAAGAACTATCTCAATGCCTAAGCGTCTCGGGACTTCTCAAAACCTTCCGTATCAACCCTAGTGAAGATTGAAGCACTGGAGTCGACATCAGTGCACATTGCACTTCCGAAGGCTATTCGCGCTTCAGAGGGTGCTGTCAACCGATTTGCGAATATCGCGGAAGATTTTTCCTTCATATTCACTTGTCGCGTATCTCTTCTCTGTGGCTCATAATGCCGTCAAACCCGTCGCCTTCACCTCACCCGGTCATCGACGCATGATGGTCCATGTTATGTAGTGCTGCACCTTGCGTTCGTATCGTGACATCACAAGCTGCTTACACGGATGCCATTGTCGACAAGTCCCTCGTAAAATACACACACATACGTGCTGAGGGTGCGCAGTCGGGCAGTTTAAACAAACTGAGTCGACTGGACGAGGGAGAGATGACAGAGGACTTTGGGCAAAGGAACGCACATCAATACCGTGAGGGCGATCCCATGACAAAAATGTTGACCGTGTACTTCTGTTGATCTGCGTGCAATGGGTCATGGCACTGGCCATGACGTCACCAGTTGGTTCCAAGAACGTTCGGAGGATGTGGGACCTTGGTGGCAACTCCATTTTGTATGTAAAGTTCCAAGAAAAGGGAAGACTGTACCATTATATAGACAAGCTTCGCATACGTTGTCCTAAACCAAGTACATGAATGTACTGAACTACACGTAGGCATGCCAACTTCTTGCTTACAACTCCTTTCGAGCATCGAGCGTCGGTTCGTAACTTTACTGGCTGGTTTCATGGTCTATGCCAAGCTTTGAGCTGTGCGTTGCAGCTACTGTCAGAGAGTGCATCAGAACGCAATGTTTCGTCAATGTTACCGCTAAGATGATGCAGATGAAAACCACCTCACCAAATAATAGGCACATTGACAGTAGTTTCAACATCATGTAACGGAGTCACCTTCTTTCATGTGGCGTTTTCTTGCCATTTGTCGAGAAGCAAGCACACTCTCGTTGGCAAATTCTTTCGATGCGTATAGTAGATGGACTCCACTATGAACAGTGAGGCCTTTATGACCGTAACTGAGGATGTTGTACAGCTTTGTCGGTAAAAGCAGTGTGTGTAAATCGCACGGCAAAGTGTACCGCTAAGCGCGAGTCGCCATAGAAGTTTGCCGCTCCATAAGCTGTCAGTCAAATACTGGTCGACTGACAGCAAGTGAAGCGGCACGTGTGATGCGTGCGCTGCTGGACATGCCCTCGTGTCCTTCCTTCTACAGCCTGCACGTGGCGATGGCGTCAAGCGGTAGAAAATGCAGTCGATCAACCACAGGTTGTCGACCGCCTCTCTTGATCAGGCTTCAATTTGTAGCAACAAGCTCGATTGCACTGCGATTTCTTCACCACTCGCGGACTGTAACAGGATCGCACTCCCAGCATCCTATGAACCCGAAAGTGCTGTTCAGCATTCTCGGGTATCCTTGCCGTCGCAGACAAGCCATACAATTGTTGTATAATCAAACTTGTCGAAGCTCGCTTGCAATTTATCGTCAGCTTGAGTACGGGAAGTACGAGAAACCCAGGCAAATGGTAGCCCAGGCGACAATTGCAATCCACGCACCTGATGGCTGTGGCATGCTTGCATGATAACGCGTAGACCTCACACGTGTGTGATGCAAGACCGAGCCGCCAATATGTGAACGATCTACATGAAGTTGAACAGCAACATGGGTTTTGTCGTATATTCGGGCTGGTAATCGGCAAGCATTAGTAGAAGGAAGAACATCAGTCGCAACGACACTGGAATCTCCTCACCGCAAAGCAGGCACACAATTCCGCACACAGAGCGCCACATCTGGTTGCAATCAACGCGGATACGAGACTGCCACAAGAGTAGAGATGCAGCAGCGTCTGATAAGAGGTCGCGCTAATGCTAAGCATTCATATCACCCGACTTCATGCTGGCAGTTCTCGCTACGTCCGCGTGAATCGATTACCCACGTGGCAAGTAGGAAGCAAACACCTGTTCGTGCAGACTGACGCTATCTCAGCGCACGTTCCGGGAAGACGAGGAAGATGATACATGCGACACATGTTTGCCTTTCACGTTCTTCGAGCCAAAGGTCGTCGGACTTCACGGACTATGCGCAACACGTGCCAAGCGCACACAATGCGACTTGCTCTAATGTATTGCACCCTTCTTGTCCGTCGCGACGGATGCTCAATGGTCAGAAGCTATTACTTGAACAAGTGCTTACAGTGCAGAGTGATGTTCCAACAGCAACAACAGCAACAACAACTATGAGTCGAGTGCGTTTTCCTACACACCCTTTGCACTGGTTCGAGCTTGTTGCTGGGCCACACAAGCAGTCTGTCTGCACCAACAATGGCCTTCGATCACACACGTTTTGTCACCCTGAGCCCCAAGCAACAACGAGATTGACGTGGATGAGATGAAGATTTCTATTACGAACGTGTTGACGGTCGACTGGTTGAGCTCCTCACGCCAACGGCAGAATAACACAACTGAGCATTGCGTGGCCGGTAGTAGTTAGTGTGAGTTCACTCCCTGATTCAATATGATTGACAAGAAGTGACAGCAAGGCACGACACGAACGCTCTTTGTTTGTCGAGCGATCGACATTGGTGTGTATTGCATGCGTTCGGCGCGATACAGCTTGACGAGCTCACTCGTAAGAACGACCGCTGCGGTCGTAGTGACACTGTCAGCAGTGACAATCTCCTGCTGCAAGCGTTGCAAGCGCATTGCCTCGGCATTGCGAGACAAGATGCATGTGGCTTTCACGCACACGATCTCGAGACGACGAGGGCTTTAGTTGCACGTTTCGCCTCTGCCCGATGCAAAGTTCTGTGTCCAGTAGTGCTTGTGCTTGCTCCTGGGGCTGTACGCGTAGCCACATTCAAACATCCTGGCGTCGGGACTCAGGATATTGGCTCGATGCTCCTTGGAGTTCATCCAACTTGCAACGACATCTGCGACGGTCGTCTGCCCCGCGGCCACGTTCTCGGCAACATATGTCCAGCGATACGCAGCCGCTTTGACTCGGCCGGATACGGTCGAGTTGTTCGAGCCCGTGTGACTGAGGAACCCTTTTGTCGCCATGTCGCGTGCATGCAGCTGTGCCGCATGTTGCAGCTTCTTGTTCATGCACAGTTTCGACAAACCTCGAGCTACGCGCTCCGAGTTTACAGCATGCAGCATAGCTGTATGGTAATCGGCCGACGCGGTTTGAACAGGATACCGCGCAGTGCTACTGACGGTTGTGTCGTCGTCGGAATCGACATCTGCCCTTGTTGCACGGAGGGCGACGGCGATCGCAATGATAACAAGTGTTGCGTGTAGGAGTCGAGCCAGTGCCATTGCAACTGCAAGTTGGGACCTGCCTGGAAGAAGTCTCTGTGGAAACAGGTCGAGTGGAGATGGGCGAAATTGCAGAGTGACCCGTGTCCTGCTTGCGTGCTCCGACTGTTGCCAAAGCATGACGACGCCGATCGGGTCGGACGTAACTTCCGAAACGAGGACGCACAGCAGCCTGTCTCTTGGATTGCACCTATTCAAGTACTAGTACTTGAAGAGGTGGCGTGGTGCTGAAATGCTGGCACGCTGCGTGTGTCCAGTCGGGCATCAGTCTCTCTCTCTTTTGTTGTTGTTGTTGTTGTTGTTGTTTTCTGGCTTGCCTGAACATACTCGCGAGGCCTGTGACTAGAAATCAAAGCGTTCAAGGAAAAACCGCCATGCTGACCCCAACAATGAGCTGAAAGCCCACGTGCAAAATTTCGATACAGCGAGGTGACCCTTTGACAAAGCGTCCGAGTAACGGCTGCACATATTCATCCATTCTTCGCGCGTCCTAGACCCTACTTCAGCACGATACGAGCAAGACAGACGCACGATCGGTCTGCAACTAGTCCAAAGCCGCAGCGAGTGATAACTGGGCGGAATACGCAAGCCGTCTACTCGTCAACATCGCGATCTCTCGGTTCCTGCAAAGTAGAACCAACGCATGTAGTCGTGTGAGCGAACAGCGTGAGTCACACTTATGCTGCCACCGTACCTGAGGCTCCAAGTCATCGCCATAGTTGATGGCATGGTCAACGTGCATGAGCACAGTCTCAATACTCTCTTCGCGATTGATGTTCATGGGAACGAAGGCTACCATGTTGAAGTCGGTGATCTACGAACCCACGTTTGTCGTAAACCGAGCATCAGTTGACCTGTCTGTCGTTGCGTGGCAATTAACTCATGGATAGTCGTTTCACGCACCACGTTGCAGATTGCTGAACTCAGAGGACGCCACTTGGGATCAGTGGCGTTCGCAAGGTTCTCAAGAAGGTACCCTTCTGATGGATCCAGATATCTACGAGAAAGAAGAAACGTTACCGCGTGAAACTCCATCTGCCTTCGTGTCGTGCGAACAGTTGCGAGAAAACAATAGCCACGCAAAACTCACTTTGACAGCTCTTTCTCGTCAACCAGATCACACTTTGTGAGCACATTGATGTGAGGCAGCTCGAGCTGCACCATTGCCGATAGGGAGCAGAGCACACCCGAGATAAACTTGGTCGGGTCAACGATAAATAAAGAATCAATCTGTAGCCAGTCGGTTGCACAATTGCGTCAGCAGCTGCCGGTATGCGGTGAACACCTGGTCCTGATAGTCTACGCGCGGACTCACCAAGTAAACGCAGCAAATGTTAAAGCCCCAGTCCTTCAACGAGTCACAGAGCTGTTTCATGACTGGAAGGTGCGAGTACAACTCAATCTGGCCTGAGTCCCCATGGAGAACAAAAACAAGCTTAGCCCCACTGCTTAGCTCCACTGCCCGACAAGCACTACTCTCAGCCCTATCCGATGTACCTGGGCAGTCAAAGATAAAGTAGTCTTCGTCACTGTACTCGCTCAGCAAATCTTGCAGCCAGTCGAGGTTTTGCACAAGATATCTGCCACGCAGCAGAAAAAACGCCATCAACATCGACTGACAGCTTCACTACGACCACTTTGTCCATCAAGTCGAACAACACGAGCACGAAACACGCACTCCATGCAGTAGATGAGACCACCATTAGGTCCAAAGCCCAGCTCTTCCATCACGTCCCCGACACTGATTAAATCACGAATATCTACACAACATGCCAAGCAAACGTCAGCACTCTTTGCTCTCGACTTGCACTGCCTCGAGTGGCTGTAGCAAAGCACAGCAAACAACAGCAACAAGAGACCTACCGAACGCCACGGGGTAGTCGAACTGTTCAGCGGCTGGGTCCAAGTTCACAACGTACGTCATACGTCCAGAGGCTGCACAGAACTCGTGCATGTTGTTGCAGTACGTGGACTACACACACAATGCCATAGACAGTCGAAACAGCCCAACGCACACATACCACCAGACCACCAAAGACCTCTCGATAGTGAGTCAACAGGCACTAAAGTCACACACAGACACAGCGCGAGAGACCGAGCAGAAGGTCCAGAGCAATTGGTATTTGTATGCAATAGCGCACCTTTCCAGTGCCTGCGGGGCCCATAACCATTTGACAGCAGCGCATGGCAGTTATTACGCGCGACTTGTTAACAGGTAACCTGAAAGACAATGATGACGATGTGGCTGCTGGCCAGTGAGTGGGCGTCTTCGGTACGTGCAAAGCCGGTAAGTACGATACCGACTGCGGGTTCGTTCGGTCGACGGGTCTGTATACTTAGCGAGGTTTCGCACTGCCTCGTTTGATGACCTGATTCGATATAGGCTCCTCTAAATCTGGACGCGCTGGCCAGTCGACGACTACTGTCGGAACCGTCGCGCAGAAAGACCGATGCGGCGTTCGAAATCGCTCGACCGTTTCGAGTCGGTTGCAGTAGCAACACGCATACTGTGTTGCGCCTACTTCCCGCACCTGCAACTGTAGGCTGTACACTCTTCAATCTGCCGTGCATAGGTAGGGGAGTATAAACAAAAAAGGTACTCACTGGCGTCAGCCACCATCTTTCGAACGACGGATACACAGCCGTCACCAAGTCCCCTTCTCGATGGGGGAGGGGGGACCAACCTCAGTCGATCGTACCCCTGGAAAGTGATGGCAGTATAGCACTGCCTTCGGCACCAGTCACGGGGGAGCGTGGGCCGAGCATCCCGCCGCATCCGACCGGCCACTTCGGACCAATCGTTGCCCCGGAGGCAGATGAGGACACCGACATTGACTCTCACCTACAGCGTGCCATGTCGACCAGATCCCCGCCACAGGTTATGTCAGCCCATGCACGTATCCCGGCTCATATTGTTTCCTCCGGAGCTTCGCCACCCGCTGGAGAAGAGGATCTGTCGTCGGATTCGTCGCGAGCTCCGACACCTAGCCAATCGGCTCATTCGGGAGTGTCGGCTTCCAACACCTCGCCTTCTCAGGCGTCCCCCCGTGACATGTTTGATTCCCTAGTCGAAGAGATGAAGGCATCACCCGGGCCGGGGTACGTCGATGTATGGCGTCAGACCGTTCAGGAGCTGTTTGAACACGTATTTTCGCGGCTTCCGGTTAGTTTGGAAGCTCTGCCGCAAGAGCGGAAACGCTTTCCAAAGCTAAAGGGTCCGAAGTTGGACGGTCTCCTTGATTTATAGCGGCAGTGTTTGGTTTGGAGTTCCAGCACATCTACCGATTGGACGAGACTTGCTACCAAGAAAGGCAAAGATATTCTGCTCACCAAGTGGGCCTTTAAAGAGATTATTCGAAAACTAGCCAGCCAACATAAGTGGGCCACGGCACCGGTCCCCGACCTATGGGCGCGGGTGGTGCACCAAGGAGCACAGACAGTCCAGGAAGGGCAGAAGGGGCACGCGTCTATTGCCTATGATGACTTTATGTTTGACCCAGCGAAATATTCCATGGTAGAGGCAGCCAATCTTAAAGACATTTGTACCGCCCGTCTCGGCCCTGCTCGCGCTCATCGCTTACGTGAGGGCACAGACGACGAATGGCGAGTCATCGTGGGCATAGCTGAAGGCCATATTGCGTGTCGTCGGATGCCAGATTTTCTACGATCCGTCTTCGACAGTGGGGAACGTCTTCGGCTCTACAGCACCATTCAGGCGCAGGTCGAAGGACAACTGGTGCTTACTATTGGCAGAGGTCGTTACATCCCGATCATCCGCCAGACTTTTAATGGTATCAAGGCGATGATACTCGAATCCGCGGAGCTTCTGCGGGTCAGTCTGACGGATCTCCATCGCTTCCTCGGATAAACGAAGGCCATCAGCTATACTCGCTCATCCCGAACAATTCACTTCTTTTTTTCCCGAGGGAACCAGCAAAACGTCTGCAGGATGTTCAAACACCCTTTCAGGGACGAGTGTACACGTAAGAAAACGCTCATCAGCCGAAACGGGGGGGGCAGTTTGGCAGAATCAGCGAGGTCCAGATGGTCGTTCGGGCCATTCACGTACTAAGTACACAAATTTTCTGCACAACGTGACACGATTTAACGAGGTTGGACGCATAGCGGCTTGCTTCAGGTCCAAAATCCCGACGGATTTTGAATTCGAAGATATGGACACTTGCACTCCAAACTCCCGGACGTCTACAGTATGGAAAGTTGCCTTATCTCTGGCGGGATGTCCAACGTTTCTTCAAGGGACAGTCCGCCGTCTATGGTTTGGAACCCCAATCATCATTAAGCACCCAAATGTGGGTAGAATCCTTCAATGCCTACAGTGCGGCACCATAGGCCACTCAGCCGCCAGGTGCCAATTTACGGATGCGCAACTAAAGGGGCCAGGTGCTATCGAAGTCACAGAGGCTGAGCTTCAAGACGTCGAAGACTTGGCTAAACCATTCCTTAGCCCGGAGGAGATGCGGGAGATGGCTAGATAACGGCTACAACTTCAGAGGGCAGCAGACGAGGCAGCTCAGGCAGCTGTCACATCGGCGGCAGTATGTACAACTCCCCCACGCACGCCTCCGACAGTGGAGCCGTAGCGCACTGGGATGTCCATTCAGCCCGTTTATACTGCCATTCCCACGCAAGCAGGCTCTTCGGACCCTAAACCGAAACCCCGGCCGGAGCAGCCTTGGCTGACACGTCCTCTCCGAAGTGGACGGCGTCTGTGGCCCTCACGCAAGCCACCGGTAACGACCGGAAGCCCCAGATCGGGCGATTTCCACGTTTTACAAGATATGGAGCCAGAGCTGAAGCAGAATAGTGCGGGGTCCGCTCAA